CAGTATGTTTAATATGCTGATGTTTATGTGGCAGATAATGATCAATTTTTATCACTTTGGCAGAAATATGTACTTAATTAGAAATTAAGAGTAAGGGCCCTTTTTGGCAGAGTAAGGTGCGAGATTCAGCGATAGAGTCGCTCATAAATCATGTTGTTGTTGCCCTCCTCTGACTACCGCAACTAGTACGAACCACAAGTAGAGTGTATAATAAATTTTGACCAAAAAATATCTCTAAGATTTCCAGGCAGATTTATAAATTTTTAAATTTTAGCTATTATAATAAAACATTTTTTTCTACGTGAAAAATTGACCAGTATTATACAGTGTGTAAATAATAAATCCCTGTGGAAAAATAAGCTGTCTTTCACATAAAAGAATGTCATTTGCGCACCCCCTGTGAAGATACAACCGCTTAAAGGGTGTGCCAAAAAAGTAATTTTTAATTTTTTTCTGAAATACCAAAAAAAGAAATGAAATTAAGTAGACATTTTCTGCTATCGAGATCTCAGTGGATAAACAATTTGTTGTTTGTGCTGAGCAAAAAAAATATTTAAAATCAATTACATGGCATGATTGGCATAAGGTGGAAATTTATCGAACTTATCTAGTAGGCGTTTGTCACGTTGACATTTCGTAATGGAAACTTAATTCGTTGTTAGTAAGGTTACAGTTATTGTTGTTTGCTGATACACTGTGACCATTTTCAACATTTAATATAACTTTTATTTCTTTTTAATAATTTATAATAATTAGGTTTCTTCACATATGTATTTAATAAAATTACGTTGCATTAATTATAACAATTAAGTTGACATTACAAAATGTCGACGTGACAACCGCCTACTAGATAAATTATAGTTGGATAAAATTTTTACCCAATGCCAATCATTGATTTTAAATATTTTTTTTGCTCGGAAATCATAAATTTTACCAAAAAATGTGACATACTTTGTTTAGAATGAATCAGGCTATCTGAAATGAATTTTTAAATGGAAAAGTAGTAATAAAAAAAACAAAATTNTGACTACCGCAACTAGTACGAACCACAAGTAGAGTGTATAATAAATTTTGACCAAAAAATATCTCTAAGATTTCCAGGCAGATTTATAAATTTTTAAATTTTAGCTATTATAATAAAACATTTTTTTTCTACGTGAAAAATTGACCAGTATTATACAGGGTGTAAATAATTAATCCCTGTGGAAAAATAAGGTGTCTTTCACATAAAAGAATGTCATTTGCGCACCCCCTGTGAAGATACAACCGCTTAAAGGGTGTGCCAAAAAAGTAGTTTTTAATTTTTTTCTGAAATACCAAAAAAAGAAATGAAATTAAGTACACATTTTCTGCTATCGAGATCTCAGTGGGTAAACAATTTGTTGTTTGTTCTGAGCAAAAAAAATATTTAAAATCAATTACATGGCATGATTGGCATAAGGTGGAAATTTATCGAACTTATCTAGTAGGCGTCTGTCACGTTGACATTTCTAATGGAAAGTTAATTCGTTGTTAGTAAGGTTACAGTTATTGTTGTTTGCTGATACACTGTGACCATTTTCAACATTTAATATAATTTCTATTTCTTTTTAATAATTTATAATAATTAGGTTTTTTCACATATGTATTTAATAAAATTACGTTGCATTAATTATAACAAATAAGTTGCCATTACAAAATGTCGACGTGACAACCGCCTACTAGATAAATTATAGTTGGATAAAATTTTTACCCTATGCCAATCATTGATTTTAAATTTTTTTTTTGCTCGGAAATCGTAAATTTTACCAAAAAATGTGACATACTTTGTTTAGAATGAATCAGGCTATCTGAAATGAATTTTTAAATGGAAAAGTAGTAATAAAAAACAAAATTACGTACGAAACAAGTATTAGGGGTGGCTTTTTCTACCCCTTATTATTATTATTATTATTATTTAAAATTTAGATGTAACTTAATTTTATAGTCTGACTGAAAAAAATCTGGTGTAACTGTTTTGTTCTTTTTACAGTTACTTTCTTTTTTTAACCAACAGTAATATTTATTTTAAAAGAAATAATTGTTAATGTAATATCAAACAAATTACATAATATTTAAAAGCAGGTTCAAGATTTTTTTTCAATTGGAATGGAAATAACAGAGTTTACAGCTTTCAATTCCTTCTGAATCGTATCCAAATTAATAGAAATGTTATTGCATTCTTGGTGATATATTCGTAAGTGTAAATTATATACTACTTTACCCAATTTGAGCTTTTCAGTATATTGAATAAATCCCTGTTGCGTAGTGATAATTAAATTTGGTACAGTAAAAGGGGAATATTAATAGCACAAAAGACAGTCAATCAACAAACATATGACACACGTGGTACATACAGATGCCGTAAAAATAGTAATAGTAGCGAATTACTTTTCAGCAACATGATAGCTTTGTGAATAAAGACCGACCACAATTAATAGGAATTTGAAAAATTCTAAAAAAAATTGAGAAATTCCTTCATATTTCCAGGTTTTCCAGATTTCCAAACTTAAATGGAAAACAATGGGATAGATAGATGAAATTACAAATATAAAAATAATAAAACAGGACATGTTTTCACGCACATGATAAAAAAATATATATGTTGCACCTTTCAGTGACAACCGTACTTTAAATTATTCTTAAATATCTTAGCGACGCTATCACGCTAATTTCACACGTAAACGTCAAACTCTAGTTACAAAAGTAGCCTCTACTACGCTATCTAGGTTAATAAACCTTCAAAGATAAATAAAAAATATTTATCATGCGATTTTAAAAAAACGTTTCTAATTATCTGAATATCCTATTCCGCGAATATGACGATTCCGCATACAAATGCATTTTTTTAGGCATCGGCTTAGAAAGCGTAAAGAAAACCTAAAATTTAATACTTTCGACGGCTTGATAAGGCAGATACGCCCCTGAATGTTATTCAACTGACTTCCGGAGGAATGCGGAGTATTTCGTTATGCTCTATTAATCGGTCGCATTTTAAAATTAATATCGCTACTATTTCAACACTTTTTGGCGGATCCGTTCGTCTCCAAAATCGATCCGTTTTAGCGTGCGTCTCTACCGTTCGTCCAACGGGCGACTGGCTTTTACCTTTACGTCGCACTTTTTGCTCTTATCGGGGATACGGAACGGACACCTCGCCGAAGGCGCAAATATTAATATAGCCGGTAAGGTAATGCCTGATTTTGTATTATAAATGGGTTTCACTAGCCGGCACTAGGTTCGAATGGAATGCTGCACAATTCACATTTACGTATTTTCAGAGAAAGTTGTTACATACCCGCACCGTCGAGGCTTAATCAATCGGGCATACCAGCGGAAATTCCCAAAGAAATAATCTGCATTGTGTACAGCTCGCCTACCAGAACTTGCTCGTCTTTTGTAAAAATTCGACGAAAGACGCACAAAATGTTGAAATTTACTTGATGTATCAATTCAACATTATAACCGAAAGAATAGTATGCCCATTTGATACTTTTTTAAATTTTAAAATTCCTGGAAAACAAAAGTGACGCGTGTTTTTTTTTCTCAGCTTCCCATTATTTAGCTTATCATGTTTGTAAATCAATTAGACGCTATCAATGTTTCATTATTTTTTCCAGATTTAATGATAAAGTTTACTTCGTCACATCGGAACGTGAAAGAGCAGACAGATTGCAACACGCTAAAATTTATTGTCCCCAACAACAGATAAACCTTGTTTCCTTTAAATCAAATATAAATAAGAATATTAAGTAAATAAAAAATGTTAGGAAATATGTGCTTCTGATTTTCAAATATTATCCATACATTTAAAACAAAAAATTCCGGGAAGCAAAATTTAATAATTTGAGCGGTGTTTAGATCAAGGTGAATAAATTTTGTCCTACAAATTCACCGATATTTCCAGGTTTTTCAGGCAGATTTAAAAAATTTTCCTGTTTGCAAATGTAATTTCTTTTATTAAGGGAATTAAAATTTACTCCATTAATTATATTGATAACGTTGAACTATAATTAAAAAAAGTATAAACAGTTCAAGTTAAAAATAAAAACACCACCGCTACAAAAAAACTGATATTGTCCGATTTTATTTCTTTAATATTGATATTTCGATACAGAAAATTAAATTTAGCAACTATTACAATTTAACAGTTAAATATTTTTTGAAAAATGCATTAATTATTGGCCAATTCAAATAATTGTAGTTCCTTCCGAATTTTAAGCATTCCGACAACCAAAAAACATTAGAAACAATATTTTTTCTAAAATCGTATAAAAAACTATCCCACTTGGTATCAACTTTGAAACAGTATTTACATACAATCGATTAGAATTAGAATTTATAAAATTTCAAGAAAATTTAAGAAATCCTCATATTTTCCCGGCATTTCCAGGTTTATAAAATTCCCTCCTAATGCCACGTTTTCCAAATGGATAACTAAAATATCTTGAGGGTGCTAAAGTATTCAACAAAATAGCGGTAACTCATAAACAGATCTTAATAACAATAATTAAGGACCTAGTTAATTTTGATCATTGAAGACGTTAACAGGCGAAAATGGTCACTGACCTTGGACACAAAAATTAGTTATACTTCACAATACATTACGAAAAACTTAGATCCAATGTCGGCTGATAACTTATAAAAATCGGTTTTAGACCATTTCTGCATTTTAATCGCAAACTGGTTATGGCAAATTTCATGGAAACAGCTTACCCTAGGATACGGCCGGTTGCCTGAACAATAACAGTGATATACGGTGGGCGGACCACCGTAGGTAGTCGAGATGATACCAAATGGTCAGGGTCTTTCCCAAACAAAGTCGACCTCAAAATGTAGCGTGCAGAATCGAGTATATTGCAGGGGATTAACAAGAAATGAAAGGCCCCAAGGCAAGCCGTCGGGTATTGATTTTGTCGCGCCGCATGGAAAAACACACGTGTGTTGGCTATCATCAATTCTTTGGGATTTGGGAAACTTACTCTGCGGTGGCATCATCCTGTAGTGTGTAGGCGGCAGCAGGCAGATCCCCTCTTGCTTTACGGGGCCGTTGGTTACGTATCTGGAGACCATTTTCACGAAAAATTTGTAAGGGGGCAAGAACCAGAGGCCGAAATTACATTAGATTTTAGCCTTCGGAAACGTGGATGTTGAGAATTTTTACGAAGTCATCGCAAGAGATCCGACGTTAAACGGATTTGTATGAAATCGTTTTGCAACTTGGTGTTATTTGCAGAGGAATGATTAGAGTTCCTTCTCAGCATTTCGTGAGTCACCACGGATTTTTGCAACCACTAGCGAGCACTACAACGACGTCAAAATACGGATTAAATTTGCAATGTCACCCGCGGAATAAAGCCTTGAGTGTCGCTAATTCGCGGTGAACACAATTTGGTGACTTTAAAAAAGAGTTTTCACGATTTGAAATGGTTCGGCAAGAGCTAGAACATGCCGAGCACGTCTCGCTACACCTAACAGGAAAAATCGATAAGGGCGTTTTACAATAATTACACTAGACACCAACTTATCACATGTTCACGAAGCCCTCGTGACGTATCACTTAAACAACTATGTGTTGTTTTTGCACAACCGTTGGAAAAATGTCCTGTTATAACGTAAGTAATTTAAAATATTAGTTGTTAATTTTCATCAGTCAAAATACAATTTCGGCGACAAACGCCATTGTATCGACTGTACAGATTGGTTCTCAATTCGGCCACCAGGCAACTTTAGCGCATGCGTGGTCATTTTTTTCAGCCAATCAACTAGTAACTTTTAAATTTCGCAAGCTCGCCAAGTCTCGACAACATGTTTGGGTACTTTTATCAACTTTTTCAACCAAATTAGTACCCGACCAACAACCCTACAAACTTTCAATACATAAAATCTCAAACTAATCGAATCATTACCAATTTTCATGAAAAAAAATTGTCTCGGCTTTATAAAATAGTATGGCAAAATACTAACATATCGCAAAAAAACATTAACCTGATCTTACCTGAAGCTTAACATTCACTAACGTGGCATATTTTCGCTTTCATACCTTATGTAATAAATAAATTACTACCTCTATCAATCAAATAAGAAAATCACTTACAATTAAACATTTCCAATTTAGTCATATGATGTAATATCTTTCATTATAAATATATCACTAAACAAAATTCAGCAGTAGTAAAAATTATCGCGATTTATGCGGTAATTAGGTTTTTTTTGACGAAAATTTTGAATTGCGATTCGCGTACCAAATTGGTTTTCACTGTACCATATGGACTAAGTAATGACAATGACCACCGCATAAGCAGGTGAATGTATACTGAATAATGAAAGTTAACCAACCACCACTTGACAAGCAAAACAAGGAACAGTAAACGTTCACATTCTATTATAATTTTCATACACGTTATTTAATAAATTTTCATTTCCGTTCGCTTATTTTAGATTAAATAAAATAATAATTAATCGGGCTATTGGTGAAAATTCGGGCAAAAATTTTAAATATACAATTGACGTTTGTTGTTAAGTGACAGATGGGCGTAACTAAACTAGTAAAGCAGAAAAAGGATACGGTGAATTCGAGAATCGTTGAGTTTGAGGCCCTCCAGTGGCCGCCTGCTTCTGATTGCCGCTCATTTCAGCCTGGGGCACTAGGTCCCTTACAGCAGCAGCCACGGATCTGCTCTTGGAATCTGCATATGTTCAAGATTGACACATCACAACACTCTCACACAAGTACATAATCGGTTTTTTGGCATCTTCACGAATAAGTTTTCGTCTCAACACCGATGTTTATGGATTTTTAAAAACTATCACTTATCTAACAGTTTGAACTCTTTTTTATCAAAGGTTAAGATGTTTTCAAGATGGCGGAGTGTTAACCCAAAAACATGATTTGTATCTAGTCCTGTACTTCTTCCACTAGTTCGTTCATGGAATTTAAGGGCAAACACTTCGATCAAGTCTCTTCAGTTTTATTAACAAAATGTCACTTTAAATCGCACAAATTAAAGTTACAACTTTATTAAAAATGACACGCGGCTTTCACGTTTCGACAAAAGCACACCTAACGGAATGTTAGAAAACTATTGTCACCAATCAGATGCCTATTGGAAATAGTTTTTCATATAGGAAAACACACACTATTTATTTATTATCTTTTTCTCACTTTTACCTAGACATAGACGTCACGTACGTGTGTTATCAAACCTTACCCTGTTATTTAGTCCTTCTAAACGTCAACTTTGTCAAAATAAACAGTTTAACCTAAAAATCAACAGGATGTGAAGAGTCTAAACCTAACAGTAAATAATCAATAACAAATATGTCATCATACGGAAAAGCAGAAACTGAAAAGTTGAAGCAAAACCTCGAAAGCCAATTGGACAGACTAGTTGAACAACTGCAAGACTTGGAAAACTGTAGGTAAGGGCAAAGTCCTCTAGGTAACAAAAATCATATAACTGCTTTACAAGGCACAAGATGTTTGTTATATAAGTAAATTTTTTCGGTTTGCAGAAATGAACTGGAACCTGATGAGTACGAAGAAACCAAAGAAGAAACGATGGAGCAGTTAAAAGAGCTCAACGATAGTCTTAGTAAACTTGTAAATGGAGATATATCCCTTATTAGTGCTTTAGGAGCCGTACAACTTGTAAGAATCAGAGTACAACTTATTTATTTACTATGATATTAATTACTGCATTTCTTTACAGGCCACTCAAGCTGCCATATCCCAAGCGTTTAAAACACCTGAAGTTATACGACTATTCGGAAGGCGAGAACCTAATCAACTGCGCGAAAGACTGTCAACAATCGAACAAGATGTAAAACTTAACAAACTGAGTACAGAAGCGAGAGATCGACAAAAGGTACTTTGCTAAAATATTTCCTATATGACTAGAACAAGCTTTAAGCAAAAAAATAACACTGATCATTTTTAGGCTGAAATTTTGACTGCTTTGAGGCAACTGAACCAACAGTTATCGAGAGAGGAGTTGCAGTTCTTAGAAAAGCACAATGATATATCAAAAGCATTTAAAAATGTAGAATTCGTAGAAGTGAAAGATGAATAACTTTTTATATATACTTTTTACATTGTCTACATATTAGTACACAAATAATACAAATATAAATCTGTAATAATATATTCGCTTTATTTTTTAAGTTTGAATGGACTAAAAGAAAGTTGAAAATCAATGGAAAATAGCTTCATGTAATTTTTATATGAATAATAACTAAAATAAAATAAAAATTATAATAATAAAAATATTAACATGCACATGCAAGCGACTGTATTATTAAAATACATATGAATATTTCATAAAGCTGTAATTCTAAAGTAAAAGCATGGAGACTACGCATGGAGTCTCCCTGAGTAAAAGGATGAAAGAAAAAATAAGCCGTTTTCTTTTGCTTTCAGCATTGAATCAGGATCAGACAAACTCGAACTAGATCCATGAATCTAATTTCGAAGAGAACAGGATTTTGTTTACTGTTGACATTTATTTTGATTTTAAATGTAGTTTAGGTACCTATACCTATTCTTCTGTGCACAATTAAAATAAAAATATTAACTGCCTTCTCAGAGAAAAAAGAAACCAGCATAATCACTGAAAAAAGTTTGATTCATAGGGGAAAGGGGATTACCGATCTTGATCATATAATCTGACATGATCCGGACACAAGAAAACAACGCGAACATGATTTTGGGATAACTCATTTAGATCCGAAAACGGCACCCGAAAGAAAGCAGCTATTAGCCGTTTTCTTTTGCTCGCAGCTTTCAATCATAATCATAATCACTGAATCAGAATCAGACAAACACGAACTAGATCCATGAATCCAATTCGGAAGAGAACAGGATTTTATTTACTGTTGACATTTGATTTTAATATTGTTTAGGCACATATCTAATTTAGGTATACCCTTCTCTGTGCCCAATTAAATAAAAATAGTAACTGCCTTCAAGAAAAAGAAAGAAACCACCACAATTTTAAGGTTATATTAAATATATTAAAAAATTTGACTCATAGGTGAAAGGGGATTACGATCCTGATCATATAATCTGACATGATCCGGAAACAAGAAAACAACTACGAACGGCAACCGAAAGAAAGCCGCTATAATCTAATATATTTTGTGGCTATAGCGTTTAACTTTTACCTATACAGGGTATATCGTTGAATGGGGGTTATATTTATACAATGCCTACTTTAATCTTTGAAGTATTTTTCTCGATATCCTCATGAAAAATAGTTTTTATTTTTAACTTTTTCTGTTTCTGTAAATATCTACAGAAATTTAACAATGAAGACACACAAACACACTGCACCGTCATATACTGAAAAAAGTAACTTATAAGGCTATACCTACACTTCCACTTTAAAATTTTACTGAATGATTAAACTTAATGAAACAATACTGAACTATACAAATTCTATCTCGGATAAACTAATACTTTACATGGAAAGCTATAAAATTGCTTACCTTACTATAAATACTTTCTCGTAAACCATCAAACTGAGAAATAAAGCAAATTTAATAAAAAGAACGATGACATCAGCCATTCCCGTTTCATTTGTTTTTGCCTGTCAAGTGCCCTGTTGTCATATCTCATCAGGTGGATTGACATTATTTATTTCATCTAAATTAGGGCAATGTGCTTTGGAAAAATAGTAAAACACTTTTTATTAAAAACTTGAAACGATTTGAAAAATATTTCAAATCGGATTACCTAGTATTTTTATTTAAATTTTATAAAGAAATAAAAAAAACATTAGTTTCACCTACAATTAGTAATGTCTGCCAACGAGCACTCCAAAATATTGTTAATGTTTGGGGCTTTCTTCACATTGACATAAAAAAATATGGTGACTTTAAAATAACACGCTGCAACACCAAACAAAAGGAATTGGTTTTACAAAATTGTTTTTCCTTGCAGTTCCGCTCTCTGCCACTTCATTAGTTTCATAAAATTTGTTTAAAAAAACAAGAATCGGCAACACTGATAACTTAACAATATGACCGAGTTTGGGAGCTGCCCAGTGACGGCGTAGACAAGAATTTAAATGCAATTTAAAAAATGAATTACAACATATTTATTTATTTAAGATCAATATTTTCTGGATAATAAGTACTATTATTCTTTAAAAAACTGACACCCACTTAAAGTTACACCCTGTATATGTTTCAGAAAACGTTTGAAGGGAAACTTAATATATTCTATAGATAAGGACAAATCGAATACAAAAATACACACGTATTAAAATATATTTTTATAATATATTGTTCCCAAAAGAATTTTTATTCATTTTTTTTTAGTATACAACTCTGCTAATAAAAGATATTACTAAATATTTTCAATTAGCTAAAAATCAAAGTAACAATTGTGCGCAAATAAAAATACCAAACTGGATTTGTAACAATATGTACTTATATTTTATTAAAAGTCAACGTTTACGCCTACAGACCTTCTTGTGTTCTGCCTGCCAGTGCTGCTGCTGGCACGTCTGCGAGCAGTACGCGGTATTCCAGCAGCAGTGATAGATCGCGTCTTGCTCGCAGTTGTAACACTGAAATCCAAATAAACGACAGTTAAAAAAATGTTTTTGCAATCTCCCAAACCAAAATATATTTATTCTTACCCACTGCTTCTTTTTTGTTTCGGAAATCTGCTGATTGTGAGATTCGAAGAGCCGTTTGAGGTGGTCGTTATGGTCGTTTGTCATTCTGTCTATTTCGACCTGCATGCAATCCATGGCACATTTTATGATGTCCTTTTTGTTCGGCAGGCACTCCAGTTTCCTCCTCATCTAAAATTTATTTATTAGTGTTAGCGTTAGACATCATCACGTCATTACCTTCTCTACAGAATCGCTGTAAGGCTGATCCAACGGTTGCATCCCAGATTCTCGCCTCGGGGATATCTGTTTACTGAAATTTTCAGTGGAACTCGTCACCTGCTCGTAAGTCTCGTCTAAACTGGAACAACGAGTAAAAACGTATCGCTTACTGCAAACAAATGAAAATTAACTCACTTAAACGAATCCTGAGAGGAATTGTTTTCCCTGAAGGAAAACTCCGTGCATTCCTCCTCTTCCTCCCCATCTGATATGTCTATAACGTTTCCGGAGATAGTTTGACTGAAATTCTGTTCCTCTTCGACTGATCGTTTCTTCTTTTCCCTTGAATCGTTTGCGTCTAAAACAAAATTTATGTTTTAAAAATTTCAAACACAGGATAATAAGCTCACCACCATAACTGGCCCCCTTCCTCTTTCCAGAAGTTCGAACTGCTATATCGACTTCCTCCAACGTATTATCCGCACTTGACGCGGAAGCGTTTGACACTTTTCCCCGTTTGTTTCTTGTCAACGGCGATACGTTGTTACTATTTGTGGACGTGTTCAACAAGGGATTTTTCTGTTTGGACAGAGTCCTGCGCCGCGGTTTCGAAGACGCCTTCAACTTCTCCAGCTCTATAGGATCGTTGAGTAGCGTTTGGTGGAATCTCAGTTCTTCGTAGGATTTATTAAAGGCCGCCGAAGTTTTAATCTAAATCGAATTTGTGGTCAATTAAGGATTTTGCATAGGAAAGTGTGCAAAAGTCTAATAATTTTTAATTTCTTGCCCGTATACAGAGTGTTCCCTGATAGGTGAAACGACTTATCTAAAAGACATAAAAATTGCTTTCTTAAGAGAAACATGCCGTTTTCACGTACTCACACATGTTATTTCACAAACAAACAAAACTGAGCCCCAACAACTAATTTTCAACACCAGCATTTTTTGTGTCTTACAAGTGTTATTTCACCCATCCGTGAACACTCTGTACATTAATAGCATTTTTTATCTCACCTGTAAGTTCTCTTTAGATGTTGTTATTGGTTTAACCAAAGACTTTACCAATAAAGCTCTTTCATACTTCCCTCCAAAAAATCTTACGTCATAGTGTGTGGCCGTCTCCCTCATTACCTGTAAAAATCAAAATAAAAAATAACAAAACCGATTTCATTAATATTAGACGAGGAATGTTAAGAGGACACATTAAGCATTCTATGATTTTGTATACAGGGTCGGAAAGTACCGATGGTCCATCTGCCATTACGTAAGAGCGATAAAGTAAGTCATAGAAATCCGTGCGATAGAGAAAGATGGCTATAATGAAGGCGTCTAATAGTCACCGCCCATTTCGCCCTTCCACAAATAAGATGTGGATCTTATTTGTGGAAGGGCAAAACAGGCGGTGACTATGAAACGCCGTCATTATAGCCATCCTTCTCTCTCGCATGGATTTCTATGTCTTACTTTATCGCTCTCACGTAACGGCAGATGGACCATCGGTACTTTCCGAACCTGTATGTCTTAAACCTCCAACATTTTAAAGCCGCCAAATTTTTTTAATGCCAATGCCAAACATTAACGAAAATTTTTGAGTTCTTTTGCTGTCTAGTGGCTAAAAATTGCCACCAGCACCATCGACACAACTAAAAGACCCCGTAAAAGGTTGTAGGAGAGAGTTTAAATGTTAATTTAGGTTTATATGCCCATTTCGTAAGGCTTTCAGTAATTATTTATTTCATTTCCGTAAAATGCCAGTGAAGAATTTTAACTGTTAAAAATATTAAATAAACAAATCAACAAATCTTACATCAGCTACTTATTTGTTGTATGTTGTCTTTTATACCTTATTCTCCTAGTACGCAGCTATAAAATATTCTTAGTTAGATACAGATTACACTTAAAAAATTGTTTTGTTCTACGAAGTGGAATTGTATTAATTTTTGTAGATTCATCCTTTTGCCAAATATCTTAAAGGTGCAACAAGGCGTGATATGGAATGCTTTCTGGTATCCTTGTATTTTGTTTAAATAACTTTAAAGCAGAGAACGCATTAAGCGGTCGTGGTTCCGGTCCCGTCACATCTCGGTCCGTTCTGGGCTGAGCTGAACGCGGTCTTTTACAAAACCAGTCGCATTTGGCAATCGTACACAATCCTACTCGTGCTCTTCTTTAAATAGTTGCGGTATTGTTTTAGTAGTTAAAATGAGTTATATGGAAGAGTATGCTTGTCTCGATAGCATCGCAGTCTCCCGAGATTCTTTGGAAATGCGATGTGAGCACGACAAGCTCGGAACGTCTAGTGCGCATGCATACTTTAAAAAACATGGGAAGGAACTCCACCGCAAGTGATCGAGACTAGCACGGACCGCGATGCGACGAGGCCGCAACAGCCTAATGCGTTTTCTGCTTTATTGTGCTAAAATCAACAGCTCTTTAAATACTTCATCTGTCATTAACTAACTTCATAAACAGGTTTTAGCTATACTTATTTGTACAGATAATCTAAAACTTTCAACTTGGCAAAAATCCACAGGATACACAAATATTTAGGGTTTTAACAGTTTTATGTCATTAACATAAAGTTATGCTGCACCACACACTTAATAAACATATTACACTTAAGAGAGCCCTATAGCAAATAGACAACCATACAACCACATACATTTTTATAGATTTTATCACACAGTTTGTCGAAATATGAATTAATGCACAAATAACAGACTTTCCCCCATTTTAACGCAGATTTTCTATAAAATGGACTTAGTTTGAAACTCAAATTACTATTAGGGGTAAAGAAATTTGTAATTTACGATGCCATTTGTTCAAAAGCAGCAAATTACAAATTACTTTACAACAAAAAGTAATTCAAGTTTCAAAATAACTCCATTTTATAGAGAATCTGCGTTAAAATAAAGGAAAATCTGTTATTTGTGCATTAATTCATATTTAGACAAACTGTGCAATAAAATCTATAAAAATGTATTGCTGGTTGCCTATTTGCTATAAAGCCCTCTTAATTTAAATTACGATAACGGTACGTCAGTGTTTACAACTGGACGCCCAAACCTGTTATCCAAAACCCGTGGAAAAGATTGTAAACATGCTACTGTCGCTGACCTCTGATATTGTTCTAATTAGATGAACATAAAATAATCCGCCTGATGTGATATGACAATAAGGCGCCAGACAAACAAAAAACCGAATTTCACACATAATTCTACAGATGAAAACCTGATTATGAGAAACCATAAATAATCATAAGTGTACATATGCAAGAACTGGATACATAACAAACCCTTGGCCTTGTCTCAATTCATCAATTTTCGAGGATAGAATAAACACACTTGAAGTTACATATTTATTGCTTTCTCGATAATAGACCAAAACAGTGCATATGTATGGGCAGCTTTTAAAGTGCATGGTTGACGATTGCAACCTTTAAGGCTCACCTATTATACCAGACGTAGTTTTTCTCATATTTTGCACTGATTGGAAGAAAATTCAGAAATATCTGTTAAAGAATGCTGGAACCAATTTACTATTTTAAATGCAATAGAAAATATTGCTGCCTCTTGGGCAGAGATGAAATTGTCAAACATTAATGCTTGCTGGAAGAAGCAGTAGAACCAGATTCACAGAGAAATTGAAAAAATTGTAGAAATAAGTCGACAAGTGGGGAGGGAAGGTTTCGAAAATATAGAGGCTGAAGATGTGAAAGAATTGACCGAAATGAAGACGACGGTCTCATTTATACAGAACTTGAAGAACTAACTCGAGAAGACTTCATTTTGAGTTCAGAGGAAGATGAAGAAGAATCCAGTGCTATGAATCCATTAACAACAAAAATTGTACAAGAAGTGCTAGACAAGATGTCGTTAGAAGTTGAAACGTGAGATCATTGAGATAGATCCAGATATGCAGAGTATGGTTATTAAATAGCAGAGGATTGGATAACCTTTTTTCACCATACAAGGAACTTTTAAAAGAACTGAAAAACCATCAAATTCAAAAAACAATGACAGACTTTTTCCAGAATCTGTACCACCAAGTACACAAAATTAAGTTTGTAAGTGTTTAAGTGCTTTTGTTTGCGAAAACTCATCTGCATTATGTTTTAATATCATTTCAATGTATGCTAACCTTAAACAATTATGAAATTCAAAATTCATATGCATGCGGAAACATATAAATGCAGTATCTTTGATTTTGTTCCAGAATATACATAAATATATAAATAACTAAATTATGTTTCTAATATTTAATTCTGTTTTAAACACTAACATAATAATAATAAATAAGCCCTGTGCGTGAGACGGGACGGCATATTATTATTTAGCAGATCACAGACAGGTATTCAAACATTTTGAGAACTATCGTAATAAAACAAATAAAACATGTGTCTTACTTTTGCCGGCCAGTACGGATATCCCTTCTGTTTGGCCCACACCAACTGGTGCGGAACTCTGCAGGGAAAGCAGAACCACCTGCTGTTAATTTTCTCATTACTGTGCTTGTAGCAATCGACGCAATTCTTCATCTCGGTTATGTCATGGATAGCGTCTCGTACCATCAACTCGGCGGCCCCGTATTCCTGCGATTCAACTGAAAGACAATACTAGTTAACAGCGTCGGAATATTGTGTTAACAGTTTCGTACGTACTTCCATGGAAGATGGCCACGTTGTGATGTACAGTGTACACGTCTGCCAAAAACTCGGAAAACATATTATACGATTCGGTGTTCAGGTTAACCTCGATCACGGACATGTCTCTGTGTTCGAAGAATAACTGATTTGCTCTCCAGGTCAGTTCGCTGTCGGTTAGCCATTCCGGTCTGTCTTCTTGCGCCATGGTATGCGTTATGGTGTTCGGTAACTGACAATAATAACCGTTAATGTCGCAAAACGTTAGAGGAGATACTCGAACTTACCCAAGCTCTTATCCTGTGTAGGACAAACCTTAACATGTAATTAATCTCGGACTTGTCCAACCCACAATCATAGTCGATTCTGTTGATATTACAAACCGAGCACAAAGTCTCATCGTACGGCAAGTTGGCCTTATCCACCCACTTTGGTTCCTCACTTTCCTTTGTGGAAGTCGCAGTCACATTCGCCTCCAAATCTTCATCTATGGATGAAGTATTCTTAGAAGAATCCAACTGAGAATCCAAAATTACTTCGTCGGAATCGTCGCATATTATAGTAACCTGATCGTTTGTGGCAGGTTTGGGTTTCGGGCTGTCGACTTTAGAAGTAACAATGACCTCGTCAGATATTGAGGGTTTAGGTGTAGCAATAACTTCTGTTGCTTTGGATACTGGTTCGTCTGGATAATGATTAGTTTTTTTCTGCACGTCAAATTTTCTTTTAGCACCTGTTATACAATCGGAATGGAAAACTCGGAAACAGTTTGCACACGGCGTTACGTCACCCGCTAGGTGGCATTCGAAGCAATACCAGTCCTTGCCGTCAAGTTCAGGCTGTAAATTTAGTGAATATAACCGACGTGTTTAATATTTCCTTTATACGTACCAATTCCTGTTGGACAATTTTGAAACTCTGATGGGAGTAGTCGGTGTTTTTGCGGATTGTTCTGAAAACAGTGTATAAATACATTTTAACTTGCTATATGTATACATACGTGATTAACTTGTCCTTGAGAGTCTGCTTAATGTACAGTTCCGCTTGTACTGGTGTACAATCGTCGACGTTTTGCAAATATTTGGAAATTTTCGGTATATCCGCAACTTGTCGAGCTTGATTTGCAGATCTTATGGCGTCCCATATTCTTTTGACGTTTATAGGATCTGAATGTCTTCTTATAGGCATTACTAAAAATAACACATTAAATTAATTATTAAAAGTAACATGCTTTCTTGTAAAAACTATGACTACATTTTACTGTCACTATCACCTCGGAAATTTATTCGTGAAGGCAACAAAAAAATTAATAAAGGGACACAAATTTACAATGATTATACAATCTCAAAAGCATGCTATGCTGTTGATATAAATATAATAGTGGATATGTTATAGGTAAAAATTACAAATCAGCATGAAAACTGATTAGATAACAGCAATATTTATCACTTCTTCAAGGGAATGATGTTTATATCTGTAAACTTTTTATATCTGTATCTTCTCTAATGTCATATGCCACATTCATTGAATTAAATTTATCAACGTTGACTAATTTCTCATTAATAACAATAAATAAATATATCCACAGACTTACTGTCTTCCAAATTAATATCTATTATTGATTAAATGAATAAAGTCATGAGATATTGAAATTTGGACTCGTTATTTAAGGCATTGTGATAATAAAAACCAAACCAGAAACAATTGCTTTATTGGAAGAAACTCTTTAAAAGTTATAATCATGCTTTCAAGCACACAATATATGTAAATCTTTGTAAAACGAAGTGAAACCTTATTTCTGTACATACATACATATACAATCCGTACAATATTTGTTGCCAATAAAGTTCCATTATTGGATCTACTCTAACAATTTACTGCGGCAGAAGCTTGCCTTGAAATTTTCCGCCAATGTCTTTCTACCTCACATGTCAAATGCAGTTAATACCAAGGTGATGCAGGGGTCTTCTTGGAATTTTATTTCAACAAATGTCGTACAGACTGCATTAACTGTTTATATTCTATAGTCCATTTTACAATAATCACACTGTAAAGCCTGTATATATAAGAAATTACAGTTATTTTATCAATAAAAAGGCAAGATATATTATCAACAAACATGTACCCTCATCACAGACCGATCAGTTAGTCATGTGGGTACAAATAGCCACATAAAAGTATACACATTGGTCTTGTTAACAAATTCCAAAATAAAGTGTTGTAGAAAAGTTACAATGTTCGAAACATATGCAGTGATAGGCAGTGGTTTATCCCTTTTCGGAATCATATTTAGTTATTATTTTATAAGGTTCCTACTAACACATAAAGTGAAAACCTTTTCTGTGACATCACTGTCAGATTCTTTAGTAACGGTATTTATTGGTGTATTTTATATCTATTCAGCAATAATTCTATCAAAGAATACGAATAAACCGACACTGTTCAACTTCACCAACAGCATCGATGACATTGTGACGATATACCCAGAAAGCTCTTTTGGTGGCACATTTGAAGAAAGCACAACAATCAGTTATCAAATTGAAGATATGGACAAAGAAACAGGAAACGTAAATGGTGAAAGTGAAGAAGTTACTGGATCTAGTGATACTGAGATAGAAAATTCAAGTTCTAATGTAGAAACTACAACAATTATCCAAACAACTATAAATCCGATTGAAAAAGAGGACTACCATGAGTACATAAAAGATTTAATGAAACAAAAACTATTAAATTCATCCTACCTTAACAAAAAGATATTTTACAACAACAGGGAATACAGATCACTAAAGAGTAGAGCAAAACGTGATATTAAACTAGAAAAAACGGACGATATATCTGATGACGGATGTTTTAACGAAACTTTTATTAGCAATGCCTTATTTTTTTACTCTTTCCTACACTGCAGTTTAACACTAGTTAATAATGTGCTGTTTTGTAAAAAGGATGAAGACAAAGTTGCTGAACAAAAAAACGAAATTCCAAGTGCCAGTAAAGACTCCAATAGTGAAAAAAATGACAGCAATGCTCCAATAGGACCTTTATTTAATGATTCCGACAGAAGCACTGAAACTATCAAAGAACTGTTCAAAGCGAGAAGCACACACTCCTTACACAACACCAGTAACGACGAAGCAAATGCAAACAAAAACGGGACACAAAACCAAAAACTAAAACTCATTACTTATATTCTCTTGATGTGGTTACTACCAATAATTTTCATTGTAATATTTTATACCATTTTGAAGAGTCAAGTGGGATCGAAGCATACAGGTTATCTAAGCACACTTAATTTAAGTTCAACTCAAGCGAGTCCAGAACTTATTAATATAATTCAAAATCCATCAAACATTGCACCCACGCAAGAGTCACCAGAAATTATCAGCATACTGAAGAATGTTTATAATATTGTCAATGATGAGGTTCAGCAACAAAACGCTGTTAAAAGAAAACCTCATTATTCCACATCCATCATGACGGACATTATATACTTTTTGAATCACAAGTACAGAAACTCCAAAGATTATGAAGAAAACTGTTCCATCCAAGACATGTCGTTAAAGATATACTTTTTTATATTTATAGTCATATATGTTCTAGTTATTATATATGCTACGATTAAGCAGACAGCTGTGAAGTTCCAGAATGGTAATGAGAAGATTAATATGTGTATACTAGCGTTTTCCTTCTTGTGGTTACCAAGTGTACTCGAGCTGTTTTTCAGAGTTTTCCTGACACAAACAAAACCCAATATATTAACAGATATGTTTTTAACTTTAGGAAACACCAACAGGTTATTTACTATGACTGCAGACTACACAAAATCTAAAAAACTAATAAATAAATTAAGTGTTGTTGAACCGGTTGTGTAAAACATATTTGATATTTATCTAATCTATTAAATTATCGAATATCTTCCATTAACTGCACTGTAACGTTTATTAAGTACCTACTGTAAGAGTTATGTTCACAATGTTTTTTTAAATTCACTTCAAAGCATCACCAAACCAAACAAAAATATGCAAAATATATAATCCACAAATTATAGAAATATAGTCAACAAATATGTAGCTTATTTGCTTATTTGACATTCATTTTTGTTGGCAGCACCGCGTCACATCAAGATTTATGTACGTACATATGTACCAATCTAAAAGTACTAATAATGTGTCAACGTATTGCCAAAAATAATTAACTTTACAAGTAGGCAAATATGTTTTCTTTTATTATCCTAAACTTGTACGGAAAAATTGTAACAGGAAGTTCTAATAAAATAGTTTTTATTTATTTGAAATACATTTTTGTTTTATAAAATGGCACCTCTGAGTGTCAAAAGCTGACAAAAGTCAAAATATCTGAGAAGAAAATTTTAATCTGTCACCGTCAGCAAGTCAGCATTATTTGACTTGTTCACCCGTTTTTCAGTTAATTTATTCGACTTTTCTTTGCTAATGTCGCTCCTACTCAATATTTTAGTATTTTAATATTTGCTAAGTTAAATAATTCGTCCGAACTAATGTATTTTCTTCTACAATTTGTAAAGATAAATACATAACCAATAAATCATATTTTTATGTAAAGTAATTGCTTATAATCCTGCTGTGCAATTAGCATAGGATAAAAATATAAATGGCCTCTATAAGTGACTTACGTATTGCGGTAATATGTTCAAGTAATATGAATAGAAGCATGGAGGCCCATGCTTTCTTATCGAAAAAAGGATTTGACGTAAAGTCCTATGGAACAGGTGATAAAGTAAAAATTCCTGGATCTGCAGCTGATAAACCAAATATTTACGATTTTGGCACTTCCTATGAGGAAATATACCTCGATTTACTGCAAAAAGATAAATCATTGTATCCTTATAACGAAAATGTTACAATGTAGCAGTAAATATTACTGCTACTGCATTCCTTGCTGTATTCATTTTAAAATTAACAAATAAAAAATTGTCCATTTTCTTAACTCAAATGTAGGTATACGCAAAATGGTTTATTGCACACTTTAGATAGGAATAGAAGAATTAAGTCGCATCCAGAAAAGTTTCAAGAATGTGACGAAAAGTTCGATATCCTAATAACGTGCGAGGAAAGGGTTTACGATCAAGTTTTAGAATTTATGGAAAGCAAAACACCAACGGATAATTCGATAGTCCATGTGATCAATATTGATATCCAAGACAACTTGGAAGAAGCCGTAATTGGAGCCTTTTTAATTAGTGATATGTGTTTAATGGTAATTTAAAATGAAAGTTTTTTTGTGTCTATAAATCTGACGTTGCTGGTTCTGTCGAATGATTGATTCCGAAATTAGTCTTATTTATATATTTTTCTTTCAGATGGCAAAAGCGGAAGATCTCGACAATGACATTGAAGAAGTCTTACATAATTTCGAAGAAAAATGTCAACGATCAATTTTACACAGTATCGTCTTTAATTAATTTAAACGTTGTTTATTAACAAAAAAAATATGTATCTGCACGGATTGATTTGAATTTAAATGTATATTGTACTAGGGAAGGATATTATGTAATATAAGCGGCATTCACTAAAAACTTGTAATATATTATGCGAGGATCTTCCAGAAATAAAATATTTTATTATATAGTATTAATGTATCTTTAATTTTTAAATCGTCAAAGGATTTTGCCTTGTTCGATAATTCGAATGTGTTTGTTAGTAACAGTTCTAAATTATGTACTGAACACCTTGAATTGTAGTTATGCGAGGCCTATCTACTCAGTGGCGGTGAAGTTTTTGTAGAGTCACCATTGAAGACGCAGATAGTGAAGAATGGCAAAACATTTGGAAACATTGAATGTGACTAGTTAAAGGCCACTAAGGGGTGTCCCGGAAAACCGTCATTGTCTGAGAAACGGTTCCATCCATAGCGGTCTTAGAATCGACAAGAACCAAATTAACATCGGGACGGAACTAGTGGTTCTGATAGCGTGTCTGTCTCCACAGAGACTAACCTGAGGATAAGAAGGACCGGTCAAAGATTCTTAACTAAGCCTAAGGAAGAGCAGTTTAATCTGGCGACGACCAGGTATATTCGCCATGACATAGGTAACACGAAAAATCATAGATCCAATATTTTTTTTTAATTTGGTGGAACAGTAACAAATGTCACTTTTGTAAAAGGATTTTGTTTGGTTGGAATTCCTGTAATATAATAAGAAATTGGCTCTTACAGCTGCCATACTGGGTATTTTTTTTAATTAAATGATTTAATTTGGTGTGTGTAATATTCTGACGTATAGGGCCCATTAATTATACACCATTTTTAATTGTATAGCTCAGTCCCGTCTTCCCACTTGTAACAACGGAATGAAATGTTGTAAATTTAAATATATAGGCAGTCCTCATACTTATGGCCTGTCAGGCCCGTATTCAGAGGGGGTGGCGATCGCCACCTCCAAAGCACAACATTTTTTAAAGATCTTCAATTTCTCCAAACGACAACAGGCAGTTAGTCGATATTAATGCAAGTCCCCCTTCCTAATCTACACCTTACGTCATCAAAAAAATAACAACAACAACAATAATAATAATAATAATGATAAAGAAGTGCTTTGCGCCACCCCCAAAACCAGTCTCTGGATCCGGGCCTGTGGCCTGTTCAGTTCTCAAAATACATGACTTAAATCGAAACGACGTTAAGTCGATACATTTTCTTTTCAACCATTTCTACATAAAGTGAAGAAGTTAGGTTTTATCAGAACATATGTGAAAAAACTACATATTAATTACAGATGTGCCGCGGACATGTCCATAGGACATATGCAAAGTGGACATGTCTTGAAGACACTTCAAGATCGAAAAGTTGTATGCGCTTGCGAAAAATTATTTGTTGCATTCATAATTCCCACAAAAAATTTTTGACGTTGGTACATGTAAAATTAAAGACATTGCCATTTTTCTTGTAATTTTGTTGGTAATTGTTTAATTGAAACTGACATTTTAAAAATATAACATAACCTCTTCTCTTTTATATGTCCATGTCAGCTGGACATGTCCATTGGACATGTCGTGAAAAGTAGACATGTCTAGAGGACACTTCAAGATTGAAAAGTTGTATGTGCATGTGCGGAATTATTTGTTGCATTCATAATTCTCGCAAAAAATTTTTGAGGTTGGTAAATTAAAGATATTTAGCCATTTGCAATTTTGTTGGTAATTCGGTAATTGTTTAACTGAAACTGACATTTAAATTTTAAAAATATAATTTTATATGTCCATATTTTATTATTTTTGGCAAAATTGACGATTAGTAAATAGTAATCAGTTGATTCTTAATTTAATATTTAATACACAAATAGTTTATAAATGAAGTATTATAACGCCAAAATCAACAGTTTGATTATATTTTTCTGAATTGAGTAAAAATCGTTATAAAAATCAGCTCAGAAACAATTTTTAAGAATTCTAGTAGGATGGAAAAATATTTAAACAAATGTATTGGCTGTCCGGGGAAAATTAGAAACCAGTTTATAAAAAAGTCTAAAGGTAGGTAATAAGTAAAATATATAGACACATATTCATTAGAATAAAAGCATAAGAGTAACTAAATATTTATTTTATTTACTCTTATGAATAAAAGTAATCTTTTGCATTGTGCACTCTCAAACAGTAGCAGTGACCTGTGAAAACATGACGTTACTCATAGGTGTCTTATTATATTCAAGGTCAAAAGTACTTTTCCCGACATGTCCGTAACACACTTTTCCGAAAAGTGCCCATCTCTAATATTAATTAAATAAACATCCTTTTTTTTATAAAAAAAAACATGTATTTGGTACTTACTTATTGCACAACTGATAAAATAGAAACAAAAACCAATCCATTTGTTTAAAAAACTTGGCAATTTGAGTTTGTTTTGGTTTTTTCTTATTTTCATACATTTCTCGATAACACCGACAGGCAGCAATAATTTTGTTATTAACATTAAAAATATTCATGGCATTCTGTAAATATCCAACCGCTTGCAACACCGATGACTGCACAAGTGAAATAGACCCCGACATACCTCGACACCATTGACGTTAGATTGAGAACTAGTGTTAAAATATTGTTCGACGCAACTCAAAACGACGTAACTCAAGGACTGCGTATATTTAAAAGATATTTTTAGATTTCTTAACAATGCTGCCGACTACGCAAATTACAAACCCTGGAACAAAAATGGAAATGGAAATGGAACAAAAAAACACCATAAGTTTTTTTCAATAATTTACGTTTTAATATACAAAAGTAACACAAAAGAAGCTCACAATTTTCTCGACATTTTGTACATAAAACAAGCAATGTACAGAAAAGCTTCTTAAAGGCCATAATATATTTCCTTCTATCGACTCGTCGGGCGTGGATTTTTTGTTGCCAGTGTTTTCAGTTTAAAAAAGAAATCAAATTCCTATTTTTAAATTACGTTTTTAAAATACATGGGTGTCAACTTCTTAGTTCTTACACATACGATAGCGATATAAAAAAAAGACGTAATAAAACTACTCTTTTTGGAAACCTAATCTTAGAATGAAACGTTAATTAATCTCAACAATTTCACAAAAACCACATAAAAATATACCTTTCTTTCTCATATGCACACGGCTAAATTTCACAGAAAATGATGGAAAAAGCAAGATCAGTGAACAAGAAAACACCTGCATGAAAATTAAATTTGAACGTTCAGACGATGCAGAAAATAAATGTTGAAAACAATGCTGGACTACATTTATTACTACTATCAAACTAAGTTTCTTTAAAACTGACTACAAAGGCAACGAATAAACCGAGAGGCAACAAAAAATCCCTGCCGAATTGACAAAATATCAACGAGCCGCCTAATGTTGATCCAAGTGCGCATAAACCCTCCTCAACTTTTCCTTCTTCCCTTTATTCTTGTGCCTGTTATGCTGCTTCCACGGTTTGCTCGTCGGTTCCTCTTCCGATTGGCGTGCCTCCCCATTCTTCGGTAGTCCCGTTGCTTTTCCCCTGATACCCTTAGCGTGTACACCATGCGCTCCGGACTGAAAGAATATCTTGTCTATATCCTCCGTCGTTGCTTGATAAGGCTAAAAAATACAATTTAGATTAGTAATTGGAACGTTTTTCGTCAAATACCTCACCTTTACTGCTCGAATTGCCAGTGGAGGCACGGTTCTATTCTCGGAATGTACCTTTTGCCGCTCGGGCCAAGTGTAATACTCCGACTGGTCGACGGTAGGTGGCGCGTGGCAATAAAGTAGCTTTCCGTTCATGAAATCCTTCAAAACGTACCTGGCGGCTCTGGAACCGTCCGGTTGTCCGTTGGCAGTCATAAAACCTCTATTATCTACGAATAGAATAAATTTAGAATATTCAGTAACTAACTTAACGTTACTTACATGCGTATGCATTTAAAAACTCTTCAGCGGTCGGAGGCCGATCGGGATCTTCCCCTTCCATGGGAATTGGAAGCATGATGCCGTATTTGTCTTCGATGATGTGACGGGGTATCAAACTGGTGACTAAGTTAGTGGGAGGCACATGGTCTCGCATCTGATCTATCGGCAAAATACCATTCAAGATCATTTCGGCTTTGGTGAAAACGAAGCTAGGCATCACTAGTCCCGGACAATCACACAGTAGGATATCCTTCTCTAGATACAGGGTCTGGAAGTGCTTGGTTTTACCGGGGGTGGCTGAAACAGACACTTTCTTGCTGGACAGCAAAGCGTTTATTGTGGAACTTTTGCCAACGTTTGGATAACCAACTAGGCCGATAGTGGTAATATTCCTTGTCACCTTGGGGCCACTGTGCATGTTTCTGAATAACTCAATCAATTCGGTACGTGTTAGAATGCGACTGGGATTTTCTACAGGGCTCTCCTCACATAAATTGACTCTTCCTATAATATCACCGATTTTATCCAGAATTTTTCCAAGGACGTCTGCATTTTCCTCCACCGCTGCTTCTAAATAAGTGATATTATGTTTTACCACTTCCACGTCTATACTTTCATCAATCTTTTCTTCCTCGGTGTCAATTTCCTTCTTGTTTTCTTCCTCAACTGCTTCAAAATCACTTGGACTTTCACATTCCACTTCATCACTATCATTGTCACTTTTATTTTGATCGTCCTCAGTTGCTAAATACGCAGAGAAAAACACAACGCGAACACCAAGAGAGGAGAAATACTTTGCCCAACATATTCGTTGATGTTCCGTTAAAAAGTCCGCCTTATTAACCAATATGAGGTTCATCTTATTTTCGGAAACTTCCTTCACATATTTTTCCAAGTCCTCACAGCGAAACAACAAAGGGTTTCTTGCATCTACAATCTGTACCACTACGTCACTGCGTTCCACTACCCGCCACAGCTGCCTCCAGAACTGCAGATTTTTCTCATAAGGTGTTAACAAGATGCCTTCCGTTTCTTGCAGTTGGGCCAACGAACGTCTCCATTCCAAAAAATGTATTTTTTCATTCCTATCTAGTTCATTTGGAGTAGTGTCAGCATTCCATGGTGGTCTGAAAGAAGCATTAAAATAAATAATCTACAAAAAATAATTTATTAGTTATTCTACCTTCTTGGAATCTTCAGTTCCTCCTTGTATTTTTCATGGGCATCCCTGGTTTTTGAAATCTCGTCTCCAGACAGCAGCCCAATATTAGATCTCGGATTAACAAACTTAATATTAAGCTTCTCGGCTTGAAATTCAGTGCCGGCCAATTCTGCAGTTGACAAAAATTCTTGAAAAGACGATTCCTCAGTAACAGATTGTAAATTTAACCGCCCCCAATCATAACCATCCTGAATTTCTGTCGTATGCAGCTAAAGAAATACAAAATAGTGCAGTTTAACATATACACACTAAAAACACAAAAAAAAATTGTGTACATTTTAACGTTACCATAGTATTATCAGACACCATTTTTTTTCCTCTGCTGCTACCAACGTGGTCTTTTATAAGTGAACGCCCCAAAGAGCTCTCAGTCCCCGACTTCTTTTTCTTGCCCATTTTTACTTCAAAAAAGACTGTACACCACAACAATTCAGAACACGTGGAAAGAACTTAAAATAACAAATTGACACTGTTGAGTTGACAGCTAGTTTCTTGGTGGAGATTTATATAGACTTTCGAAAGTAGGCCATTTCAATTCAAGGACCTAAATTTAGTAAAAATAGAGACAGATAGATTCAAATAACTTACAGGTGAGAAGGAAACAGTAAATTATACCAAGTAATAAAAATGAAATCGCAACATTTAAGAAGAAGAAGAAGAAGTTCTATAATGTTCTAGAATTTTCATTTCAAAAATACTAGAATTTGCAAGAAAAAAATAGCTTAAAGATTTTACCAATAAGTTATTTAAGTCAATTGCTGAATAACACCTCTATTTAAAGAAACAGTATTATCCAAATTTAATTATTAACTATTTAATTGCTGTTTAGAATTTTTACCTTTATCAATTTTTTTACATCGAATAATTTCTATATATTTCTGCCATCTCTCATCTCTATATATAATTCTATGGTTAACTCACATTTTTCGTTTGGGATGTGTTCAGCGAGCGCTCGGACCAGTCAAACTCGTTTAGAGTAAACATTTTGTTAATTAACCCAATTGACTACAATAGTCGAGATCTTTCAGCGACAGAAATTAGGGCTACGTCAGTAGGTTAAAATTATAATACCTAGAAACAAAATGATGATTGATATGGACATAATAATCTGTGGCAAAATTACTATTTAAAACCCGTTCAGTGGATTGTTCAACTTGACCCAGCTATTTGGATCATTCGTTGAACACTGCCTTGTGATTTGTTTTGGTTGCGCTTGTTGATTGTTGTTTTTTAATTGTCATTCTATTATTTGAATTTCCGGTTGTTATATTAATTAATAATATGTATAAAATTTATAATAGAAATAGCGTTTAGTTTAGTTTTGTTTCGCTTTGGACTAACGGACGAATTAAAAATGCACTTGTTTTTCTTAATTATTTTTTTAATAGATAAAACACTTTCGGAAACTGAGGTTAGTCCAAAATTAACTAAAGTTTGGGGGCCTGGTTTAACTCCAGACAAATTTGTAATGCCTGCAAGATACTTTTTCGTAAAGTCAATAGATATATCGAATGTTAGGTAAACTTTCAATTTATGTAAAGAAAGATGCAATGCCACTACTGTTTTCAGTATAACGGAGCCTTTGAAAGAACCTTTCCAAATAGTTATCGATGGAGCCACAAAGTCAAAAAAACCTTGTCGACTCTGGACGACAGTTTTAGATAGAAAAGATGGCTCTTACATCGTGAGATACAAAATGTACGAACCGTGTGTGTACATGAAGATTTCTATCACATATAGGAATGAACATGTAGCAGAATCTCCATATGTAATAAATAATATGGTCTACCCAGACGACTGCATGTGCCCTATTCATAATATCAATGAGTTCATAGAATCTTGGGAGTGCGGATTGCTTCCCAGTGAAATTACTGAGAGACTGAAAATATTTGGAGAAATTAATTGGGATCAGTATAGAGAAAAGGTAAGGGCTGTGTTTACTTAACTAGTATTTTTTTTCAATTATTAAATATAAATGAAATTACTAATGAAACACTAATTTGTAAGGTGATTAAAAAGTTTGATAGACCACACTCTGTCAGTTTGTGCCATTATGTCATAAAAAATAATGAAGTTTATCGGAAATGTTACGGTAAATATGTCGGATATAATATGTTTATGGACAACATCCTGTTGTCCCTGGCTAGAAAAGTGAAGATGCCAGACCTGGAATTTTTTGTTAACCTGGGTGATTGGCCTTTGTCCACTGATAACTTGCCTGAAAAGTATCCTATTTTGTCGTGGTGTGCGAGTACCGACAGTTACGATATAGTAATGCCCACCCATGACATCACAGAGTCGACATTGGAAAATATGGGAAGGTAGGTATCGTTTTGCTTCAACGTTAGTAATATTTAGCACACTACATTTTGCAGAGTGATGTTGGATATACTTTCCGTTCAGGGTAACACTGAAGGGCCTTGGGAGAGTCGCATTCCGAAATTATTTTGGAGGGGCAGGGACTCAAACAGGCATCGATTAGATCTGATAGACATTTCGAGGAAGTATCCTGATTTATTTAATGTATCGCTAACAAATTTCTTCTTTTATAGGGACGAGGAACATATCTACGGCCCTAAGAGCGACTACGTTTCGTTTTTTAGGTTTTTTGATGTAAGTAAAGATTTTTTCAAATTTATTTGGATAGATTCTTAGTTAACTTTTTTTTTCAGTACAAATACCAGTTAGCCATTGATGGTACAGTGGCCCCGTACAGAACACCGTATTTACTGGCAGGTGGCTCTTTGGTATTTAAACCGGAGTCGAAGTATATGGAACATTTCTATAAGGACCTCGTTCCCAACTTTCATTTTGTCCCCGTTAAGAAGGATTTATCCGACCTCGTGGATAAGCTGAAATGGGCAATAGATAACGACGATAAAGCCAAAGAAATCGCCAAAAACAGTCGAAGTTTCGTCAATGACAATTTGCTTCCAAAAAATATTTTTTGTTACCACGTACATCTTTTCAGGGAGCTGAGTAAAGTGATTACTAGTTCCGTGAAGGTTTTTGAAGACATGGAGCACATCAAACAAACTAAGGCGCAGAATTGCGATTGCGAGAGCGCAATCAAAGATGAACTGTAAATTAAATGTTTTATTTAAAAAATGAATTCTACTTTATTGATAAGAATCTCAATTGTACGTTTGTAAGATTTATCAATCAATAAAAATGTTAAATATGTTCACAATTAGAAAGGAACGGACATTAATACTTGTTGACATATTCCTTGAAGGATTCCACTTAAACTAGAAGATCCTAAAAACTTTTGCTGTATCCAGCCTTGTCTATATTGACTAAGATTAACTCCAATTCGTGAAGTAGTTCACGCTTCACCGCGTCTGGAACCATGGATCTGGCTTTGGGCGTGATCTGGGCAATCAACTCGTCTACAGTCGGAATATGTTTGTCGCCATTTTCTAAAATCGCTTTTCGGCATGCCAGCTTTACTTGATCCCTCCAACCACTCTCAATCAAACGGGTCTGAACTAATTCCGTAACTCTGAAGGAATTTACATAAATGTTTATTTTATATGCTGTTGTTTATAACCTCACCTGTCGAGTCCATGATTAATATCCAAGTGCAGACTTACTTTTGAATCATAATCTTGTGGCATTATATTTTATATATCTATTTGTTTAATACGAGTCTAGATTGCAGATAAAGATTTGTATAACTTTTAACGATTATTTGAAAAAATAAAGTACGACAACTCTTCTTCTTCTTTTTACTTTGCTCCATAGATTAGGTAGAGAGAGAGATCTTTGCTTCTGCTACTGCCTGAGGGCCTTTCGATTTGGCAAAAATAGTAGCTATTAGTAACTCGCGCCATTATTCTATGACTAGAAATTGGCCTCAATGATTTGGGATCGAGGGGGATTATCCCTCTTTATCCTGCCTCATCTCGTGTAGGCCTGGACAGCCTTCGTAGGTGGGCCCCATCCGTCGTCTACCCCGACCGCAAATGCGGCCGGTGTAGGCGCTTTGTGGGACCTCCTTTTGTCCTGGCTGGGCCCCGCCGGCTAGGGCCCTTTCTTCTGGCGCTCTTCTTGCTTCGCCGGCTCGTCTGTGTAAACCCCGGGGGTAGTGTCATGTTTATGTGTGGTATGGTTGGGTAGGGTAGTGCGGCTATGCAGCCTGGGATGCGCTTTGCTAAGGTGGCCCTTAGGCTAGCGCGGGAGGGGAGGGTTAAGGAGGGTATGGGGGGTGTGTATGTGTGTGTGTGTCGTTGTCTTCGTTTCTTGATCCTGGCTGTCTCTGAAACAGAAAAGGTTAGCGGGCAGGGGGGGGGGTCATTGGGGTGGTCACCCAGGGTCAAAAAGTTGGTGTCTAGGTCTTTTGTGTTTGTCGGTCACGTCGGGTACGTAGTCAACGGCTTGCCTGAGGAGGGGATTGTCATGTCTAGCGGCTACGTCAAATCGTTTCTCCGCGTTTTGTCTTATTGTCTGTGTAGCGTTTGTGTATTGTAAGTCTCGTAATATGTCAGTGTTTCTTACGTACCAGGGCGCGTCGGTGGCCGTGCGGAGGGCTATGTTTTCCACAGCCTGTAATGACTTTAAGTGGCTATTTGCCGCGTGACCCCACGCCGTGGAGGCGTAGGTTAGCTGCGGTTGAAGTACCACCTTGATAAGCGTTCGCTTATTCCTTAAACTGAGGGTGTTTCCACCTTTGAGTAAAGGATAGAGCCTAGCCCTGGTGGTCTTCGCTCGCGCCACCGTCTCCACGATGTGCGGTTTCCACGTGAGACGCTGGTCCATCGTCACGCCCAGGTATCGTGTTTGTCGATTCCAGGAGATGGGTTCCTGGGATAGTGTCAGTCTGTCAAGGTTTTGTGGGATTTTTCGTTTGGTAAAAAGGATAGCCGAACTTTTGTTGGGATTAATTTTGACTTTCCACCTGTTGCACCAGGTTTCAAGTTGGTCTAAGGAGCTTTGGAGGAGGTAGACGGAATATCTAGGATCTACGGATTGGGATGTGATTGTCAGGTCGTCGGCGTATAAGTATATGTTGGTGTTGGGGGGATGTGGGATGTCGGAGTTGTAAATGGTGTATAGGTGTGGGGACAGGACGGTGCCCTGGGGGACACCGGCCTCCATGGGACGGGTGGTGGAAAGGGAATCTTGGATTTGGATGCGGAATTTTCGGTGGTGTAGGTAGGATTTTATGAGTTTGGTAAAGGATATGGGATATTGGTTGGTGAGCATTTTCATCAGTAGGCCTTCATGCCAAACCGTATCGAAGGCCTTTGCGACGTCCAGGAAGACAGCACCAGTGTACTGTCCCCTGTTGAAGGCCGCCGTGATGTGCTCGGTAAGGCGAAGGATTTGGAGTTCAGTGGAGTGATTGGGTCGGAAGGCGAACTGCTCGTCTGGAATGACTTGCAGTTCTTGGTATTAGTAACTAATAGCAACTTAGAGTTACTGTGAACTGATATTAGTTACTAATAGGTACTATTTCTGCCAAAACGAAAGCCCTACTGGTGAAAGTATCCAACTCCAACAATAAATTGAGAAAAGTTACTACATGCCGCTGCTAATAGAAATAGTTTTGGAATAAATTGCTAAAATTTGATAAATTTGCTTCATATTCAATGAATTTCTTGCATAAACTACTAATTTCACCAATGACTAAAATAAAATTTGTATTATATTTTAAAAATATATAAAAATTACTGACTGTATGTAAATTATTTTTTTATTTTGCGTCTCATGAAAAACCTTGGCCACAGAGCATATTACAACAATACCGAATTTTACTAGATATTAGATATAGCCAGCGTTGCCAGACGTCCCGATTTTGGCGGGACGTCCCGCTTTTTAACCCAAAATTAAATGCCCCGCGCGGGACACGCTCAGTCCCGCTTTTCGCGCTCTTGTTTTGTTTTTTCTTATAGATATTTCCTGATTACGTCCCCCTTTTTTTTAGGCATCAATTACAAACCCGTAGTATGTTCCGTTTTTCGACGAAAGAATTCCGCTTTTTTATTCAAAAAGTTTCAAAATCCCGCTTTGCCCGAAAAAAAATTTGGCAACGCTGGATATAGCTGACATTCAAATATTCAATTTCAGTCAACGTAGTGAAATACTGCCAGAGATGGTAATTCTGATTTCTGTTGTTAGCCGTATTTTATTTATCTGAACTACCCTCTTTGTCTTGATCAGCCTTTAGTTAACCTCACCTAATTGGCCTATCAGCTTCAGAATAACTAAGGTTAGATTAGATTTCAGGTAAATAAAATGCGGCTATTATCTTCATCTTCTACTTCTACTATCACCGTAAGAATAAATTCTTCTTCTCCTTTATTTTTTGTTACCATTCTCACCAGCCTAAACAAATAAATTTACTAGAAATGGGGTATTTCTTTCTTGGAAACATATGTGTACCTCTTGTAATGTGAAATGTTCTGTGAATTGTGAATGCCATTTTGTAAACGCGGATGTTAATTATTTCGTTAAATACCTTTTTATTTTATTTTATAGATTATTTCAGTTGTTTGATAGCTAAAAATGTTGCACGTTCTGCTGTTTGAAATGTAAATAAAAGTAAGTAATTTAATGCAAAAATATTTGTCGCATGGTTCTGTACTACTATGCTCTTGACATTTATCTACTTTCTACTATTTTTTTTTTTATTTAGGTATGTGACATTAAAACCATATTGTTTATGTCAATATATCTTAAAGCAAGGCTGGAAGCATATTTCATTCTTAGAAAACACTAAATCTGCCACAATGGATTTTGCTCAGCCGCCACCAAATTTGTCGATGCCACCTCCCATTATGACGGGTCCTCCACCGAATATGGCACAACAAGGTAAGTTGGATTGAAGATTTCAAGCCGAAAGTTTGTGCTTGATATATTTTTTTCCTTCAGGTGGTTTTAATAATAGGCCGCAATTCCGACCTTTCATGAACTTACACAAACCGCTGCCTGGACCTTTAGGGAATATGACGTTAGAAGATTTTGACGGCAAACGTCTCAGAAAGTCGGTAATGAGGAAAACGGTAGATTATAATTCGGCTATAATAAAGGAATTAGAGGTAAATAGGTACTTTATATATTTTTTTGTAATATGTGATATGATATGACTTGCTTTTATCACCTTGTATTGTCTCTATATGGGGTGTTAAGGAAATCGTGACGTATAGGCATATGGTTAAAATTTTTTACAGAATAGAGTGTGGCAACGTGATTATAGAGACAGAAGGGCGCTTCAGCCAGACGCAATGTACTATCCAGATATGATGCCTCCTCCCAGTTACCCCGACAATCCTATTAACTGCGTTACCACCCGTTTTGTAAAAACGGCTACAAATAAAATGAGATGCCCCATATTTTGCATGGCTTGGACTCCCGAGGGAAGGAGACTAGTCACGGGGGCGAGCTCGGGAGAATTTACATTATGGAATGGGCTGACATTTAATTTTGAGACAATTTTACAGGTGAGTAGGCAACGGGGGGAGTTAGAAATCTCTCGAGTTGTGGGTTTGAAACGGTTTGTGATTATGTGAAATTTGGTTTCAGGCCCACGATAGTCCAGTGAGAACGATGGTGTGGAGCCACAACGATAGCTGGATGGTGACGGGGGACCACGCAGGATACGTGAAGTATTGGCAGTCGAACATGAACAACGTGAAGATGTTCCAGGCGCACAAAGAAGCCCTACGTGGTATAAGGTATCTACAACTTCTCTCCGTAATTCTCAGATTTGTATATACATTTATACAGAATGTTTCAATAAAAATTTCCCTCCCATTCCTTACATTAGTGCAATCTTTGGTAATCTGTGAATAAAATAAAAATGAGACGCCAGTCTTTGAATATTGAATATAATAAGGGAATATTTTGTGATAGATTTTAAAATTGCTGTGATATTATACCGTGCTGTAATTTTTTACGTTAATAAATTCATTTTACAATAAATTCCAGAGACACTTCCAAGTGTGTTTCTAAACTGCGCGTCAGCGACCCAGTTTTGAAGGACGTTTGGAATTGCGTTTTTATTTTCAACCTTTCATTCGGTCTTACGGGAGTTACGACTAAATAAAAAAAATATTAAAAGCAAACTTGTTTTATTTCATCTGCATTAATTCAAGAGGAGGAAATACTTCGAGTGACGATTGTACAAATAAAGTGTTCTTATTTTAATGCCTTGTATTTATTTTATTTTTTTAAATAAAAATTGTTCAAACTTTTTTCTACCTAATCCCTGATCAGATCATGGTTACATTGTTTCAAATACATTTTTTGCACTAATGGTATCGCCGAAGAAAACAGTAGTTATTTGGCTTTGCATAGTTCGTTTGAATTAAAAACGGAAATAAAAAGCTTGACGCCAAAGTCCCTTTGCTTGTTTTTGGCTAACTCTGTGCGAGATGTTCAGGTTGGGCCCGAAAGGCCTTTTCCGTTTCACTGAACCGATAAATGTTAACCAAAAGTGTGAGGGTAACTTCGGTCGAGAGTTTTCTATTCGGTTTTTTGAGTTGACGGACTCTATCCTTGTTGTATGCTTTGAGATGATGTGAATGTGTTGTTTAGCTTCAGCCCGTCGGATACCAAGTTTGTAACGTGTTCGGACGATGGTACTCTGCGTATTTGGGACTTTTTCCGTTATCAGGAAGAAAAAATACTTAGAGGTAAGTCAGTGGAAACTGATTTTTTTTTTATTGATGGAACACCACACATACACCGCTTCCCCATTTCGCAATTTTCATAGAATTCGTTCTGACGGTTCATTACCCATCTTTTTTCTGGCTGATATTGCTCAAAACATTTTTTAAACTGGTGATTTTTAACAAAACGCTTCTAATATCCAACATCCATGCTATTGTCAATGTGAATTGTACTTATTTATTTTTTTTTGTATAACGGCAATGGTTTTTTTAATCATAACTTTCAAAGGCAAGATTCAAAATTAAATCCATGAAAATTTGTAAAATATAAAATTAAGATATTTAATTTGACTTTTTTTTATAATAAATTATACTTTCCCCATTTTAGAAAACGGCAATACACAATTTTTCATATGTATTTTTTATTTTTATATCGGAACTTTATGAACGAATATACAGGGTCTTTTTGTAAATTATTTGTTCTTTTATTAGCTCCCATATATTTTTACTATTGTAAAGAAATTAAACTAATTCAAATAAATTTAAAAAAATGGTTTTGTGACAAATTTTTAATTTCATTTGATGAGATTCTTTAAGGAATAATTTTTTAAAATTTATCTAAATTAGCTTGACTTTTGTAATATATACAGGGTGTCAAAAAATAATAATAAAGTTTTATGTTTTTCATGGAAAAATTGATTTCATTTGCACACACTTTATTTTATGACAGTTAAAGAAAATTAGTGTACAAATTTTGTTACTGAAAAGCATGAAATTTATACCAGTTTTTCAGATTATTTCTGGAATTTTCATAATTAAAAAAATTTCAAACAAGTATTTCGGCATAAAAAAATGTAATTTCAGATATTGAGATCTCAGGAGTTTCACGTTTATTAGCAAAATATTTTTACTTATAAAATTTTAATTTATCTTAAAGTTACAGCATTATGATTTGAAAAATTAAATGTTAGTATAAAATTCAAATGAAAAAAAATATATTTTAGGTATATTTGCATCCGTTTTAAAAATGTTTTCATTACGCTGTATGTGTAATTAACAATACACATTCCATATTTTATTGCTAAGTGTTTTTCAATTGTTAGGACATGGAGCTGACGTAAAGTGCGTACATTGGCATCCCCAAAAAGGCCTTATAATTTCCGGCAGCAAAGATAACCAACAGCCCATAAAACTGTGGGACCCGAAAACGGGCCAGTCGCTAGCCACATTGTAAGCGTTTCTATTCACAAAATACTTTTTTAGGTATTCTCATTACTTTTTTTCCTAAGACATGCCCATAAGTCAACGGTAATGGACCTAAAATGGAACGAAAACGGCAATTGGCTTATCACGGCGTCTAGGGATCACTTGCTGAAATTGTTCGACTTGAGGAACCTCAGTCAGGAAGTGCAGACCTTCAGGGGACACAAAAAGGAGGCTTCCAGCGTGGCGTGGCATCCCGTTCACGAGGGTCTCTTCTGCAGCGGTGGCTCCGACGGGGCAATTATGTTCTGGCATGTCGGGTAAGGGAAAATGGAGCCAATATGAAATTCCTTGTAATTATTATTTTTTTTCCTAGCGCCGACAAGGAAGTAGGAGCTATTGAGCAAGCCCATGACAGCATAGTGTGGACGTTAGCCTGGCATCCGCTCGGCCACATTTTGTGTTCGGGATCCAACGATCATACGAGCAAGTTCTGGACCAGGAACAGGCCAGGCGACCAAATGAGGGACAAATACAACTTGAACACACTGCCTGCCGGTATTGCTGGATTGGAAGACATGGAGATGGGCGGTACGTATATTATCACATTGCTTTCGCGACGCCGATTTTTTATCTTGTTATAATTGTGTTACAGACGAACCCTCCTCAATAATTCCTGGCATGGGTCCCGAGGATAAAGTCGAGATAACCTCGATAATCACCGACGAGAACCAAGCTATTCCCGGTTTGGATTTGGACGGTAGCGTTGTGAACGAGGAGAAACCTAAACCGAAGAAGGTACCTTTCAGCAAGCCTATACCGCGGAACTTCCAGGCGCAGTGGAACGAGACTGGAGGTATGCACGATTTTATTGTAAGTTTTTCTACTAGGCGCATTTCGGGATGCAGCAGCGATGACTTGCGGTACGTCTTCTATTTCCGTCTACCTTGTTTCCCTCAAGGTGTGATCGCATCTGGACATAAATGGTTACTTAAAATGTATTTTATTGCAGATTTAGAAATAAAAAACCACCATAGGCCTAGATTTGATGAATACCATTGATTATTAGTGGTAGTAAATGTACAATTAATTAATACAGAGTTTTTATAAATGATTACAAGCCATGGGACCAATAATTTTGTTTGGACTAGTAATTTTATTTCCTTCGCGTTGGCAATTGAATTTCGGTAAAATTAAAACAATAAGAGCAAGATTACATTAAAACGACATTCTCTTTCACTGGCTGTGATTGGCGTAATTATTCACGAGATTCTATTCAACCAATCAGTGAGCACGTTATCTCGATCATAGACTTAACGGTTTGTCATTATTCATTGTAAACGAATCATTAATATTTGCAGATGATACTGCTGGTACTATCAACGAAGTTATCAGCCAGATCGTCGAGAATACACCCGGGGTGGTTCCATTGCAAAAGATTGCTCCCAACGCCATTATTATTTATGGAAAATTAATTCCAGTAGAACGTAAGTATTCCCCGTTATTTGTCGTAGCTTCCAAATAATCAACTTCTGAAAAAAATCTTTTAATAGTTTTTGAATAACTGTTGAATTTTTCTCAGCCGGGTCTAAACTGGAACAAGCCATAGCCGACGGACCGGACGCTCTCCAAAAATACATCGACTCGGGGGAAATCGAAGAACTACACGACGTCATGCCTATAAAAGACGACGAAGACTACCTGAACGACGATTACGACGACAGCAAAGACTCTAACATTCCATCAAACACGTCCAACCTAGGAAGCAACTCTCACCTGGACTCCGACATGAGGTCTAAAGATCAAGACATGAGGCCGTTCAGTAACATAGGAAGAGACAACGACATGCGGGGCATGGGCGACGTGGACTTCAGGAAAATGCACAATAACGACCTGGACTTCCGCAACCAGAACCACCGGGACTTCGACATGCGGAACCAACACATGGACGAGGACTTCCGCTTCAACAACCACGGCGACGAGGATTTCAGGAACAGCCAGTACGATAACGACGAATACGACGAGGAATACTACGACGAGGGCCCCAACGATAGGAACTGGCAACGCAACGGCAACTTCAACAACTTCAGGGGCGGTCGCAACACTCACGGATTTAATCAGAACTTCAGGGGACCGCCGGGTAACTTCAACCAGAGTAGCGGAAATCAGAACGACGGCAACTGGAACAGTCCGCAGAACGACTTCAGGAGCAGGGGGGGCATCAGGAGAGGCGGTCAACCGAGGGGGCAGCGTGGCGGTCAGAGAGGCGCCAGAGGTAACCCGAGAGGTCGCAGCGGAGGTCCGAGGAACCCCGGTAGGGGCGGTCCTGGAAACAGGGGTCAACTTGGCGGACGGGGCAGATTTTCGTGAGTGGAAACGTGTATATAACTATGTCGACTTTAAGATTACTATGTGCGTCTCAGCTATTTCGTGAATATTCTGTTCTAATGCATTATTTTTTAATAATAAATCGTGATCTTTTGAACGGTAGAAGTACAGGAGGGCGTTTAATGGTGCAACGGATGTCTTGGATTGTAGAATTGTAAGTTACGAGTCGTGCTTAGTAACTTATTTTTTTTGATAACGGTTCTTTCAGCGTCTTGCATTTCAGTTGAAACGCTGAAAAAATGGATTGCTTAATACAAAAGTGACGATACTGTTAAGTTTTGGCTGCTTTTTAAGCTCATGGTGTGGGTATTCAAGGGATAATTTGAAGTCGGTGATCTAACTTCTTTTCTATTTAGAGAAAAATGTTTTTGGCAAAAATCGTAGATCATGATAATTTATTCTGTCATTTCGTCCAGGCTGACATTTTTTTTAAAGCCGCTCCTTTTTTTAATAGATTTAGATATAGTGCAGAAATAATTAAAACGTGTCGTCCATGAACGTTTTTTATGTTCTTGCCACGAATTGGTGTAAATGTTAAACATTGAATTTTTAGTTTGTAACAGTAGGATTTTTTTTGTAACTAATCTCTTTATCAGTTTGTTTATTTTTGTTCCTTAGTTGTTAGATCTCGTGCAGAAAAAAGATCACAAAGTCGCTGTACTTTTGTTCCTATCCACAGTATCTATCGCATTTTATTTATTTTATCACATTATTATAAAATTTTGTAACATCTCTAATTTGCACCCCCGTTTCTTCACAAATACCAAGGTGTACTTATTGTAATCTGATGTTAATGTAAATAAAATAACTAATAAATACGATAAGATTTAGTCATAATTTTTTATGGCTAATAAAATAACGGCTTATACGAAAGAAGAGTGAGAAAAAAATGACAAAAGCCCTTACCTTTATTATAATAAAATTAAATAAAAATTGAAATTGTAAGGTCACCTCTAAATTAATTTAATTCGGTTAAATTATTTGTTATTTGAAAAAAACTAAAATTGTTCGTCAATTTCTGAAGCCTTCTAAGGGCTAAATGAAGTACTTTGAATAGAAGAAAATTTTGTTAAAACGTCATTTTGAACCCAAAAATCTGGTAGCGAAATGTTAGGACATTGGGTAGATCATGAAATTTATAAATGTTTTACTTTATTTTTTTATATACAACATTACACAAAAAAAATTATTAATTCTCAGAAACAAAGAGTGACCGCAAAAAACCTGTGATTTTCGCCCGTTTTCTCACAATTCGCAGATAATTTTAAAAATTACATAAAAATATGTTTTTGATTGCAAATTACATGTCGTAAAAAACTGAAATGAGCATAGCGTTTAGTATTTTGAAAATTTAAAAAAATCACCCTTAGGGGTTGAAATATGCCAAAAATGAAGAATTTGAATATTACCAATTGATATAAAAAATATTAGCATGTGAATTATCTTCATATATTTTTTTTTGGAATTTTTACAATTATTTCTGACATTCCCTATTTTTGGGGATGATTCCACCCTCTGAGCGCGCTTAAGAGTAGATTTTCTAATTCAACATGCTTTTTCAGTCATGAGAATAAACCTTTCTTTGTATCAAGAATCATTCGATAGAAAAATTCACATGCTAATAGTTTTTATATTTATTGGTAAAATTCAATTCTTCGTTTTGGGCGTCTTTTTAACCCCTAAATAGAGATGATTTTTGAAAATTTTCAAAAAACTAAATGTTATGCTCATCTTAATTTTTTGCAACGAGTAATTTGAGACCAAAAACATATTTTTATCTATTTTCTTTAGTCCTCTGCGAATTGTGAAAAAACGGGCGATTTTTGCGGTCACTCTTTCATGGTGTACATTAAATTTTAAATGGTTTTTTAAAAATATCCAGTGTAAATATGTATTTCAGAAATTATGATTATTTTAAAAATTTTGCAATGGTCTCCATTAAATTTGCATCAAATACGAAATATGTTTATATATAATTTCAGGAAAACTCTATAACTTTTGCTTGTCTGAATACGAAATAAAAGAGTAGATATACAGTAACGGTAACAGATTTATGGCTGATTTTTAAAATGAGATTTCCAGTTTTTTTGGAAAATACAATTGAATGGGAATATCTTCATAGTGATATTGTTTTCAATTAGTAGTTTCTATCTAATTTCCTAACTTCAAGTAAGGAATAGCACATTTCTTATTACATAATAAAAATTTCTTAACCCCATTCTAAATAATATCGTTTAGTAGTTTCTGTCTGATTTCCCAACCTCAAATATGAAATGCATTAAATATCGTTATGTAGTTTCTGCCCGATTTTCTAACCTCAAATGCGCTTAGTAATTCCTGTCCGATTTTCTAACTTTAAATACAAAATTTGTTATATACCATTTAATAGTTTCTATCTGATTTCTTAACCCCATAATGAAATTCGCTAAATATCGTTTAGTAGTTTCTGTTCGATTCCAAAGGCCAAAAAATATACGGAATACTTACGCTAAATATCATTTAAGTAGTTTCTGTCTGATTTCCTAACCCCAAATACGAAATAGGTACGTTAAATTACGCATTATATTGAAGAGTCCAAATAACCAACAAATATAATAGATAGGCTTTTTTTCGCAAGTGAAATCGTATGTTGTAGTGTGTAGTACCATTGTATATATTTACTTATACAATGGTAGTACGAGGTAATGAAGAGATTTAAACTACCATATGACAACTAAGATCTAAAGAGATAGAAATAGTAACTACTAGTCATCAGATAGATATTCACCATTCCCAAAATATTCAGTCGAGCAAAAAGTCTACAGCCGTGGTAAAATAGAAATACGTCAGTTCAATTAATTTTTCAATCCATGAAGTGAAACGCTCACTTGTGTCGATTGACCAATCAAGCTGCATTAAATAGTTCCAAATTTTCATGCCGCCCCATCTGTCGCTGAGAAGCTGCACTAAACTGCTGCAGAATTCATTAGCTAGCAGCCTACTGTAACAGCTTCAATTCACTAGTGAATTAAATGAACTTTTATAAACGTATTCACAAAAAATGCGTTTCCCTTGCGCCTTTTACTTGCGCTAATAGTTACGTCAAAATTTAGACCTTCTACATGACATGCATAAAAATCGTGCAACTTAAGGTGTAGTTTATTAAGTTAATTGCATTTTATTTTTTTAATTGCAATATATTATTATAAGTATTTCCAGTGATTCATAATAGTTTAACCACAAGACAATAGACGTGGCATTATAATTAATAGTTGCGCCTTCTTCGCGCACTTTTTGTGAATGGGATTATGCTTTTTATTTAAATTCGCGCAACACGGGCTCAAAATTTTTGCGCAACTTCCGCTAGTCAGACTAACGTTACGCCTGGTTGATGAATCCGTGTGTTAATGTATAGATCGTGCCGCCTCCTTTATCAATAAATATTGTGTATACAGGGTGTCCCGAAATTCATGCAACAAAATTTGGTCATAAATTCTTAAGACAAATTTAAGGGACCCGTATTTTTTCTTTTTGCCTAGTGACCCCCTCTTTCGGAGTTACAGCCCCCTGAAGTCCGCCTCTAAGAATAATCTTCTTTATATCTCAGAACCCTCTGTTGTACGAGAATCACTAAATTTGGTACACAGGAGTTCATGACATGTGGACTCTGATGGTGCTACGTTTTTTGACGGGGAACCCCCTTAAGACAATTTTTCTTGGGCCCCCTTGCCTTTGGAGTCAAAAAAATTTGCTCGTATATTTAAATTTCTTAAAAATTATCAGTCCACTAGAAAGTCATTAAATTTAGAATCTTTTTGTCTTTATACTTTTTTCGTAAGAAGCAATGTTTTCCAGAAAAATGTCAAAATGTGATCAAATGCACATCGTGATTCGCCATTTTCCTCAAAAACATTGTTTGAGGAAACAAATACCAAGAAACAAAAAAGTTTCTAAATTCAATGGGTTTCTAGCTAACCAATAATGTTAAAAAAATCAAATTTGCGACCAAATTTTTCTGGTTCCAAAGACACGGGGGCCCACGAAGAAGTGTCTTAAGGGGGTTTCCCGCCAAAAAGCGTAGCATTGTAAGACTCCATATATCATAAAACCCCTGTGTACCAAATTTAGTGATTCTCGTACAACATGGTTTTGAGATATAAAAAAGACTTCTTAGGGGCACATTTCAGGGGGCTGTAACTCCGAAAGAAGGGGTCACTTGCCAAAAAGAATAAATACGGGTCCCTTAAATTTGTCTCAAGAATCTATGACCAAATATTGTTGCATTAATTTCGGGACACTCTGTATAACATTAAACCGTTGAGTGAGAATACTATTTCTTACTCAACAATTAAACTATTAAAAAAAATTGATATTTTTTATTAAAAATTAAAAAAATATCTATTTCTCTGAAAAGATACATTTTTTAGAGTAAACTGAAAAAAAGTTATAAAAATTCATTCATAATTTAAAAAATTTTTTGAAATTGTACCATAATTTCTAGTCTCTAACTCTGTTAGTTTTAATAGTACAAGAAAAAGTTGATAGACCATTTGTAGAATTTTATGCTTTACAACTTTTTGTTCTAGCTCTTACCCCTTTTGACATCTTGAAATTTATTTTATCTTTTTTCACCTCTGGCTATGCATTGAAAAAAAAATTACTGTCACTTATTGTTATTATATACATCAAACTAAGTTATATTAAAAAATTCAGGAAAGTTGACCAAAACTTAAATTTAAAGTCCCATTTAATTGAACTAGTTTATTATCATCGTAATTGTAGAAAAACATGGTTCCATTAAAAAAAAATGTGGGCCTATACCCCTGTAGTAACACATTGTTCAATTGTTTTTGCGATGGAGGGAAAGAAAAATTAAAAAATTTTGTACAATTTTTCATGTTACGTCAAAGAATAGCGGATCACCCACCAACCGAATAATGCGGAGAACATTTTGTGAAAAATATTTATTTAACTATTTTCAACAGATTCTTCAGTAAATAATTAGGATTTACAATATATTTGATAAATAAATTCTGTGAAAATGATTTACAAAATATTATAAAAACATACAATGTCAAGTATATAAAAATTATGTGGGACCTACGCTAATTATTACACCGTAAAATTGATTCAAGACTTTTCACGCTTCTTAAAATTACGTTTACTGGCACATCGGTTTATGATGTCCATCACGTGTACTTTGTGATCGAACATCTTCATCACTTGAGCCTTAGCGTCTATCATGCCATCGTTGATGATTTTGATTCTCTGCAAGTTACCCTAAAAAAAAAATAAATACCTATAAAATAAATTCCATTCCGCATCAAAATTAAGGGGAGCAACCACATTAGGAAGTTAAAAAAATCGGATTCGTTTCGAAATCAAGAATACGCTGCAAAAATTTCAAAAAGAAATTCCTATTCGTTTTGATTTTTTGAACCTAAAACCGAACGCCCATCGGGTCAGCGCTCGGGTGCACAGCAGGTAGGGCATACCGCTTGTTCAGGTACTCTAGTCACTTATTCGCTGAGTTATCGGAAAGCACTCTATATTATTGACAACTTTCCTAAATTTCTACTTTTCGGAAATCGTCAAACGCGTTATTCTAGAAATGACATTTTTTTTATTCTTGGGAACACTAGCTCAAAAAGTTATGAACCGATCGTTATGAAAATTGAAAGTGTGTTTCTTTATGGAATTCAAAGAACATGAACCAACAATTAGAATGATATAATTTTAAGAGTATTTTTTATTTAAAATATGAAAAGAAAAATGGGAAAATCAATACATCTTTTTTCAAACACGTATCAAAACTTCAATTTTCACAATTTTTACCCGCAATGAGGTTCATATTCATAAAAAACATGTTAATAATGCAGGAAAATAACCATTTTGCTTTCAGATCAAAAATTGCAATCTCCACATTTCCCGTGTACAAGCATAACTTTTGGTGGACAACAACCTATAACTTTGGCATTTTCAACAGAAACGACTTGAAAAAATTTGTTAATGTAGATCAAAATATTTATAATATGATGTCAAAATTTGATCAAATCCTAATCAATTTGTCCCACTCAAGAAAATTCATGAGAAATGCTTGAAAATCAGGCTCCCAATGTGGTTTCCCCCCTTAATGCATCGTTAAAAGTAATTTCAAAATTAACTTTTTTCAGAGACGGCCGTCACTTTCAATTGTGATGCTAACAGAGTTTTTAATGAAATTTTAGTTTTCAGAGTATAACAGTGTAGAGAGAACAAAATATTTTCCCCAAAATTTGCAACATTCTGTAGCGTTNTACACCGTAAAATTGATTCAAGACTTTTCACGCTTCTTAAAATTACGTTTACTGGCACATCGGTTTATGATGTCCATCACGTGTACTTTGTGATCGAACATCTTCATCACTTGAGCCTTCGCGTCTATCATGCCATCGTTGATGATTTTGATTCTCTGCAGGTTACCCTAAAATAAAATAAATAAGTACCATTTCGCATCGAAATTAAGGGGAGAAATCACGGCAGGAAGTTAAAAAAATCGGATTATTTAGTATAACTATTCAAGAATACGCTGCCAAAATTTCAAAATGAAGGTCCTATTCGTTTCGATTTCATGAATCTAAAAGGTCACGCAGGCGGAAGGTGTTGAGTGACCCAGGCCTCTGGTAGGCTGCCACAGCCACGTCCCCGAGCCTACCTTGGGTTAACCATCCAAGTTCCAGCTTGCGTCCGTGATGCTTAACTCAGTACATCGAAATCCACCGGCTAAGACACCCGGCTAGGCGGTACCCCACAATGAGGTTCACATTCTTAGAAAACATGTTAATAATGCAGGAAAACAACAATTTTTTTTTCAGATCAAAATCGCAATCTCCACATTTCCCTTATACCAACTTGCACAATGACCTTTGGTGGACAACAGCCTATAACTTTGGCATTTTCAACAGAAACGACTCGAAAAAATTTGTAAATGTAGTTCAGAGTAAATTTTTTTCAGAGACAGCCGTCACTTTCAATCGCGATCTTAAGACAGAGTTTTTACTAAAACTTTAGTTTTCAGAGTATAACAGTGTAGAGAGAACAAAATATTTTTCCCAAAATTTGCAACATTCTGTAGCGTTCAAACTGTGGAATCTTTTCTAAACAATATGTTTTTTGATTCTGTTATTAACTGAGAATCACAGTCAAAATGCACATTGTACAAATTCATCGCAATGAATGAAGTTTTTGAAATGACCCACAAACAAAAAAATCATAAGGGTCACCTAGTAAATTTTTCTCAATTTTAGCCAATTCAAGAGGTACAGGCCTTCTGCATGCCCTCGTTGTTCATTTAAACAACCTGTATCTCGATACCTTTCAACTAACTTAATGAAAATTTGCTGCGGCAGATGAATTCTTACCAAAAACCTTTCTGTTCATACACGAGATGCCTTGGCTGCAGTTTGCCAACATGCCCCGTAAGTTAAAAACGTATCTGCAGAATTCATTGCTTTTGTAAATCAGTTCTCAGAGAACCTTTCACAGAAAATTTGGTTATACGTACGCTGGAATAACAATGTAATCATTAACTCGGTAGGCTAGGATTACCATAGTAACATACTGTTGTAATAAATTTGGCCGTTAGGGCATATTCCATAATCGCATTGAGGTCGACTTTGAAATAAAGTTAGTTAATTATCATCAACTGTTAAAGGAAAATAAATTAGTTAATTATCATCGATCGTTAAAGCAAAATAAACTTTTTAATTAATGATATTGTGGGCAACAAATACCCTGCAGGCAGAATTGAATTACAGTCGTGTTTTCCTAGTACCTACAGGTTAGTAGATCACTCTGCCAGTAGGTACAAAGTACCAGTAGGCATCAACATTTAAAATATGCCATATTTCATAGGTTATATTTCCCATACATGATAGTGTTGTTTATGAGATATTGGATGTGTAATTCAACACTAGACGTGGCATGTAGCCAGCAGAGTAGTTGTTTACCACAATATCAAAATTTCTGGTATTTTTCTTACAATTTATTTTTTTTCCTCACATCGGTATCTTGAAAGTGAAGCGTTTCTAGACACAAGCTTATGGGAACTTTTTTGTTTATTTGTGATTTTACAAAAAAAATTTGCTACTAAAGTTTGGAATTTTAGTTACACCCTATACAGGGGCTTTTCTAAGTGGACAAACTTCAAGCGGTGATTCTTAGAGTGATTCTAAGACGAAAAGCTTATGTAAACATAGGTCCGGTAATGCTTCTTTTTCAAGATAAAGGGTGTTAAAACTTTTTTTAAAAAATAGTTTTTTCGTAAAAATCTTAAGAATCCTTTAGCCGATTTTGTTGAAATTTGGCAGTGTTATTTATGGTAGAAAGAGGCTAATTTAGCCCAAGATTAAAATTATTAAACCCAGTGGCGTCCTGGGGTAGCTTAACCAATATTTTTGACAAAAAAATGTGTGCCACTGACTTTTTTAAAACTTTTATAATTTTTTCGCATTAAGCAACTAAAAATACAACTTTTCTGTCACTTCAATTTTTTTCGTATCTTGCTTTCTTATTGGAGAAAAAAAAAATTAAAATCACTACTGCATGTCCACAAAAAAACAATTTTTAATAATTAATAAAACACAAAAATTTATTTTAGCTAGCGTTAATTTTTATAACAATTTTTAAGTCTAGAATACAATATTGATATGAAAAAAAATACTTTTACGAGTTCTACATTCTGACAAAAAAAAGATGTAAATTTTGAAAATAATTATTTATAATTTTGTTAAAATTTCTCTTATAAAATAAAAAAAAATCAATATAAACAAAAATTAACAATGAAATCGACCATTTCCAGTGGTGTGTTAATTTAGACGTAAACTGTATTTTACTGACCTTGATAAGCTCGTTGATGCTATTTACCTCCTTATCGAACTGCTTACACCTCTCCTCCGACTCGGTGCACTTCAGCAGTTCCGTCAACTGATTATACACCCTTTCCTCTTGCTCGGCCTAGAAAGAAAATCCGTCGTCGTAAACCGCGAAACATCCTACACCCTCAAACTCACCAAGTCCTCCATCTGCGTCGATAGATGGAAAATCTTCCAGCCGTTCACCTTCTCCTGCACCTTATGCTGATTGGCGAGATCCATGATGGTGGGCCGCCGCTCGTCCTTGGGCCGGACGTCCGAGTGACGCAGGTAGTGGTTGTGGTTGGCCTTCCAGTTGTGCCGGTAGCTGTTCAGGAGGCTGGCGGACGCCGGCTTCCTGACGGTGGTGATCTGACCGGCTTCCGGGGCGCCGTCTCTTGGCTCGTCCGAGTGGTTCCCCTCCGAGTCCTCCTCCTTCTTCACCGTATTCTCGGATATGAACTGCATGTCGTCGTTGTGCTCGTCCAAATCGTTGCCGGTTCTACAAATTTATTTATTTTATTAAAACATTTTCAATACGTGTAAAATAGTATCGATGAAACTTACAGTTGCTGCTTTCTGGGCTTTTTCCTGGGGCTCATCTCGACGGGAGGTTTCACCTCCTCCTCCTCTTTATTGTTCATCGGGGCATGAGGATTGCTGTCGTCGTTAACCTCGGCCAGTCCGGGACTGGAAGTTGCCGATATCGTAGTACTGCCACCTAGATTGGAACAATAAATTAAATCTAAAATATAAAAACGATTTCTTCGTCAAATTCACCTACCGGAACTGTGCCCGTTCGAATCTGGCCTAGAAGGCGGAGACACGGGTGCTTGCGATTGCACGGGCGTGGCATTCAGCGCGGGAGCTAGGCTCTTGGCCGCTTTGAGGGGAGAACCATCATGATCCCTCTTCCTCAGAATGCTCGGCCTAGGAGAGGAGGTCACTTTCGGTTGCGTCTGTGGCTGCTGCTCCTGCGCGGCCTCGGCCGCGTGGTGGGTGAATTGCTGAGAACGGTTCGGTTCCACCACCATGACGGGATTGAATCTCATTTGCTGGTTTACGATGCCTTTCAAGAAGAATAATTTATCTATACTCCAATTCAATTACATTCAATACAAACAGTTCACATCTGGACAAACATATCCGCCTTAAAAATAATTATAAACGTTGAAAGTTTAAAGCAAAGTGAAAAAAATCAAACGTCTACTAACAATTGCCCGAAAGTGCGACAAATCCCCAATTTTTTTAACTTACCGTGCACCGCATTGGCAGCGGGCCTGATCTGCTGCTGGGCCTGGCCCAGGGCGGTAAAGGGTGCCTGCTGCTGCTGACTAAATGGTCTGTTGACGGAATAATTTCCCGCGGAGGTGTCGTAGAAGTATGTACCGCTAGCAAGAGAATAAGTGGCGACAGTGGTAGTTGTAGCCGTACTGCTGGTCTGGCTCACGGTAGTTGTGATGGGACCTGGGAATTCAACACAAAAACGGGTCACTTCAGATGGTGCTCTCCAAGTGACTTTGATGGAATGTCAAATTTGTTTATTTTGATAATTCGGTTGTTTAAATCACAGCTGTCTTTATAATTTAAGCAAAAATGCAACATGAAAATGAATGAATTTCACACAATGAAACAGCAGAATTAAAATACATTTCATTCACTAGTAAATCAATCAAATCAAACAAATAAAATATATGGTTATCTTATCCTAAAAGTTAGACAAAATATGAATCAGGAAGGTTTTATCAGTTTAAAAATACATGGGTGAATCACAGGAACAATTTTCTCTTATCTTTATTTGCATAAACAAATTTTTCAAATATACAGGGTGTCCAGATTTACACACCATCACATCGTAAATAAAAAACAAATGAAATGTTGTTTATTAAAATTGATGTCAAGGACTCTAGACCGATCGAAATCTCATTTAGAGGGAAAAAAAAGAAAATTGTTACCTGGACTTTTATAAGTGAAAATGGTAAAGGGTAATAAACGAAAAAAATAAATAAACGCGTGAACAGGTGCGTGAGGGTTGATTTGGGGGGTCGAAAAGTTGTAAAAAATTGTATCATTGGGATTTCTGGCGAAAATTACTGTTAAACAAAAAAGTATTCCGTACAAAAGTTGTAGATCATGCAAAAATCTACAACTTTTGTAGACGTAACTTTTTAAAATAACCTCATAATTTCCGAGAAAAATGCGAAAAACAGGTATGTTTTTGATTTTTCGTTTTTTATTTCTCGTTTCAGCAAAAATAGTTTAATTTTGATAAAACTTGGTGAAAGTACACCTTTCTGTGTCTTAAATAACTACAATTTAGATAAAAAAAATCAAGATGTTTTTGATATTCACTGGTCTGAAACACTTTTTTTTCGAAGAAAAATTCTACTTAGAAAAATCATTGTACAGAGTTCTGCCGGTGATCATTTTTTCGTTGTGATATATACGTTTTGGTGAAATAAAAAAATCTGTAATCATAGTTCAAAAACATGCTCAAAAATGCAAAAAATGACTTGCAACAATGAATTTTTCAGTAATTGTTGAAAATTTAAATTAAAAAACATTCAAAAACTGATTACACCATTCAATTCTACAGAAAAAAATACAAAAAAAACTGTCTCATTCTTTGACCCAAAACTTTATTTTTGTACGGTATTGCTATGAACATCTAAGTCGAATTACAAATGCACAAATGATAAATTATACAGTATAGAACAGCAATACAAATATTTGTAATTAAACTGCAATGAAAATGTCAATTTTTGATATTCCTAAAACATAACTGATCTTATAAAAAACTAATATTTTATCCCACTTCTGAATTTCTACCCCAATTTTCTCTTACAAAGGAAACCCACCGAATCATTATGAATGTGGGTGAGACATAACCTATAATGCAAGTCACGTCTCAATTGTCAATGCCTACTGCAACATAGTATAGCTTTGTACCTACTGAGTAGGAAGTAGAAACAAAACAATGCTCTGTGTCATCAGTAGGCATCAATAAAAATATAACAAAAAAAAAACCTACTTGGTGACGATCTTCTAGGTGCAGATTGAACGGGCGTGTGTATATAAACGTTGGCGGCGGCCCCAGTGGTCACTTGGCTTTCGGACTGAGGGAAAACTTTGGCAATCGATATGGCTTGGGGAGGCACCACTGTTGCCTGCCTCTGCTGGGTCACTATGGCAGCCGGTACGCTAACTGTGGGCAGAATTTCCCCGACTCAGTACACAGTTTTATGAACACGTTCAAAATGTACATAAGGTCAAGGCTATCGTTAAGTTCATATGACTCGTGTAAAATATTTGTTATATTAACGAGTATATTAATAGATGGTTATCTTTCACAATACTTTAAACTAGATTACCGGTAAACTCACTGATAGTTTTTTATTTTTAAGATTACATTGAAAAATTGGCCCTTGGAATGGGTAATTAATGGTCCTTTAACGAATTTAGGCTGTTTTAATTCTAAATTTCCCACAGAAAAGACAAATTATTACTAGCTGGAATGTGTTTTTGACATATTTCCTGATATCTAGCTTGACTTTTAAATAGAAGTAGCAACATATAAAGTTTTCCGACATTAAATTATTTATAATAAAAAAATATTACTTCTTACTTGTTCTGGTAGTAGTTGAAACGACACTGGAAGTAGTTTTAATAGCAGAATTCGGAGTCAAATGTATGGTACCTAAAACAATACCAATACATCTCACCGCTTCTATACGACAGAGCTACAAAGAGCACCTACCTTGCGGAGGTTGTGCGATGACCTTAGGTCCCTGCGTCTGGATATTCCGGGCCTGCGAAGTATTTGCCACGGCAACCAGAGAATGCAGGTTCAAAGTCGATATCCTGGTTTGTCCCAATAGGTTTGTACTGGAAACCGAAGCTGGACTCGCAACAGACAACCTACCGATAGTCGCGTTGGGTTGAGTGGAAACGATCCTAGCGCCGGTCGATCCGAGGACAGCCGGTTGCTGTTGAGAAGATACGGTGGATATTCTGGTACCGGAAGTGAGTACCGCTGCTTGAGGAGCAACGAGGCGGGCTCCTGATTGGGAGACGTTTACCGGAACGGTGAGGCGAGCCGTAGTTACCTGCCCCTGTGACAGATATTTTTGTATTTACTTATAATCAATCGAAGAGTGGTCGCTAACACTAAAGAGCACACAGATAATAAAATGATACTGTAAATCAATGGAATGTAGCTGAAAAACCATTTAAAAATTACAAAACAGCTGAAAAATTTAAGTGATTTGGAAAATTGTTGACCATTGAAAAACAGGAAGAACAATGGACGAGACATTTTAAAGCTGATAATACCATATAAGAATGCAAAAGACAGATAAAACATATACTACTGAGCATCATGAGAATTTCTCACTACCGTCACCCAGTTGTGTATTTAAATCACTCAGTCACAAAAAATGGCAGCTCTTACACAGATAAATTGCAGTCTTTGTTCCTTTTGTTCTTTCCAGTCTCTTCAGTGAGACATAACAAAGGTTTTTACACTTTAAATGGTCAATGTTACTCAATCTTAGGACTCCAATATGGCAGAGAGTGACATGCTAACTTGTATTATGAGAGCAAACATTAGCAGGTTGCTCTCTGCCAATTTGGTTGTATCGCAGACCTAGACATATTGAGCAGCAGTGATCATTTATGTAACACATTTTGTTTCTTATATCTCACCCATACTGTCACTATGTCTGTAGATATATACCAAAACTGCTGGATCATTCATCGGCAGTATGGCCAGATTGGACGATTTACCACAAATTGGGCTTACAGTAGAAAAATTTTATGATTTAATATTTGGAAAAACTTCAACATGCAATTTAGAGCGATTTGGGTCTTGAAATCACAAAACTTTAATGTTTGTGTGTTCACAATATCTTTCCATTTTACGATTTAAGGACGGCGAGCTTTGATCTACAATTGATCAGTTTCTCTTCACTATTTGATTGTTGGAATTTGCTATTCTACGGTTGTGATTTTGAAGGCAAACCTTGAAACCTTCATACCAAACCAAACTGATGAGTGATGAGAACTAAGCTGTTTTCTTTTGTTCACGATTTCAGAATCATAACGCGTTACGATCCGATGGAAACCAATCAGGTTGCTAGATTTTGGATCGTAACGTGTTATGATTATGAAATCATGAATAAAAGAAAAGAGTTCTATAATATAAGTTTGAAACTGATAAATTTGGTAGTTCTGCAGACCTTAACTGTTTACTAGATATCGCAAGAATTAATTGGCAGAGTAGTTGTTCTCCACAATAAGATTTGTTAAAACCATAAAATAGCTTTTCTGGGCATGTTCTAATCTCAAAGTGTGACGTAATGTGGATATAAAGCACAGGAAATTTATTGAAGAAGTCATGTGTAACCTTTTTTTTTAATACAATGTTTTGGTTTTGCAGGTATGATAGAAAATTGAGGAATACTTAAGTCTTAGGTACGAGTCAAAGGTAACTAATTAGAATCTTAATCGTGTATTATAAATAAGTCTATTTCAACTTTTGCCCTAAAAAAAAAGATGTGGCATAACATTTTAATTGATTAAAATCCATACAATTTCTTTCACATTGAAGTGTTAGTACAAATTGACGCTACTTTGAAATCGTTTGTAAACAATAAAAATTTACAATAGAAGATATACCAATAAATATAATTTAGGAAGACCTTAAAGAACAGAGGCCCCAAGTGAGAACCTTGGAGCACACTTGCCACTATTACGATTCTGTTGGACATGAATTTTTTGAAAAATTAGTAGATGTGAGCATATATTGCTGATCAATAAGAAAACTGGACGGACAGAAAGTGAAAAAAGATGGAGTAAAAAAAAACTTTAACCAAATTTTGAAATCTTTGACTTACCATGGGCCTAGCTTGGGCCTGCCTCTGATTAGGAACACTACTAGCAACTGTAATTCTAGCGGTGGGCGTGAATTGCGCACTGGTGTTGGTACTGTACACCACAGCCTGTGTACGGGATGGCAGCACTTGAGCTATCGTCACGGTGTTTCCTAATGCCTGTATGCCCGTCGCTCCAGGCTTAAAAGAATGTATCTAAAAAATAAGAGATGTTAGACTGTATTTTTAATACGTTGGAAGGGCTAACCTGTCCTGATTGGCCTATGGTAATAGCACTTTGCAAAATAGTCCCTGGACGAATGGCGGAAACGGTCTGGGCCTGCGTCCGACCTATAATTTGGGGTTTTCCAGTGACGGTAGCGCCCCTAACCGGCGAGCTAAGCACAGTCGGAGCTCCTTTAATCTGGGACCCATTGGAAGAGTTGGTCAACCAGGCAGTACCCTGCGCTGGGCTTGGTGTTCGAGGAGGCCTTACAAACGCGTGGGGCTGTAAGGAAATCATTTAACCATGTCTGCTCTGTTATTATAAAAAGACTGCGTACACTTACCTGCCCACTTTGCGCAGTAACCACCATTGGTGCTCTGACAGTAGTAACATTACTCCTGGGAGCCGCCAAGTTTGCTACGACAGCGGGTCCTCTTGGCACATGATATGTAGTTCCTACTGTGGTCTGAGCGAGCAATGGGGCTGTTGAAAGTGTTATTTGTGTTGGTCTGGATAAATTACCACTGACTTGGGGTTGGGAAGTGCTGCTTGTTATTATACTGGCGTTTTGAGCTCTGTTTGAATCTGTAACAATAACAACCTGAAGGTAACAGACAGGAATTTGTATCAAAGGTTAATTATTTATAGACATTTAGAGAAGAAACAAGATTGCCCAAATGCTATTTTTAGAAGTTAAACTGTTTTTCTAATACTTTTCCCTCATATGCTACAAGTAATCTATTTGTATAAAATAAAACAGTAAAACCATACACCAAAAAAACCATAATAACGATTATTATTCCGATTTTCAATAAAATCAACTCAATGTTGAAACTTCAACAAAAATTTGTTCAGCTTAAATTTTTCTCGTAAAGAATACAAAGGTAATCATTCAAATGAGCAGAAAATATCACTTAGCAACAAAAAGCTTTGTTTTATCTCACCTGGCTTAAGAACAGCTTGTACCAGATTTGTGGTAATAATCGTTTGGCCACCCAGAGAAGTGGGATTCGAGCTGGAAACTCCTTGAGTAGTTAACACCCTCATGCCCCTTAAGGACTGACTAGTCATGACAAGCGGAGCCTTGCTCTCTACAGTTCGGATAGTGGCAATTGGATTGCGAGCAAGATCCAAAGGAACTGCCTTCTGGGGATCTTTATCATCTTCAGCATTAGCAATCATTTTTGCACTGTTGTTCTTAAATAAACACCTAGTAAATCATAAATTTTAATAGATAATCTTAATAAAAGCATCTGCTTTGGAAAAATATTATTTTCAAACCCTCGTCCACGAAGACTTCGGACGTGAGCAATTTTTTATAAATGAGTAGATTTGTTCTTTGTAAAATAATTTTTGTCGGTGGTGTATAATTTCAGCATTTTATTAAAATGTGAGAATAATTCTCACGCACAAATAAAACTTCAAAAATTAACAGCGATGGCGATGATACTACGAAGGATATGCAAAATGCTGCAACACTGTGCGCAAAAGAGAAATTTTAACGATGTGCACAAGTTTGCTACGAGATGGCTACGAGATGCTACGAAATGAAAAGGCACTTTCAATTTAAAAAATCAAACCGGGAACAGGAAAGTGAATATTCACTAAATTGAATATAATCTTTTCTTATTTTATTCATTCAGTGCAAGTCATTTCTGGAATTAATTGAACATTATTTTTCAAATAAAATAAGTAAATAGTTATATTTAAGATTCTATTGGTTGTTGCCAGGCAATAAAATACGGGATCAAATCTAACCAATACAAATTGAATATTACTAAAAACAAAAACTACCAACATGACAAATTGACAAATGACATCGAAAAATGACATATCAACACCGTTGGCGGTACTGTATTTAACCTAAAAAGTTTTTGAAATAAGAGATACATCAATTTTGTGTTTGCGTGATATTTTATGTGATTATGTGAATTTAAGATATGATACAGAGTATATAATACTTTAAGAATGACTGACGAGAAATTGGTGACAGAAGTTCCTAGCAGTCTAAAGCAATTGGCTAGGTTGGTGGTTAGAGGCTTTTACTCCATAGAAGATGCTTTAATAGTAGATATGTTGGTGAGAAACCCTTGCATGAAAGAAGATGATATATGTGAATTGTTGAAGTTTGAAAGGAAAATGTTAAGGGCGAGAATAGCTACTCTAAAGAATGATAAATTCATACAAGTTCGATTAAGAATGGAAACTGGCCTAGATGGAAAAGCTCAAAAAGTGAATTATTATTTTATTAATTATAAAACCTTTGTTAATGTAATTAAATATAAGTTGGATTTGATGAGGAAACGTTTAGAGACTGAGGAACGCGATGCAACAAGTAGGGCTAGTTTTAAATGCCCAAATTGTTTAAAAACATTTACAGACTTGGAGGCCGATCAGTTATTTGATTTCGCAACTAGTGAATTCCGTTGTACATTTTGTAGGGAAGTCGTAGAAGAAGACTCTTCAGCACTACCAAAAAAAGACTCTCGTCTATTACTAGCAAAATTCAACGAACAGTTGGAACCCATTTATATCCTTCTACGTGAAGTAGAGGGCATCAAATTATCTCCTAAAGTATTAGAGCCGGAACCAGTAGATATTAGTACCATTAGAGGACTCGACAAAAAATCAAATGCTGCACAATCCGGCCAAGAATGGTCCGGCGAAGCTACGAGAAAATCAGGTTTTGTCGTGGAAGAAGCAAGAGTTGACGTCACAATTGGTGAAGAGAGCAACTCTGTTATTAACCGCAAAGAACAACCAATTTGGATGACAGAATCCACTGTTATATCAAATATTGATTCGCAGGATTCCAATAAGGCTAATGAGGGCATACTTGAGGTTGCATCTGAAGTGGCAGGTAATGTTTATCATGCCTTTTGTATTTCATTGATTACACTGTATTATTTAAATTTATGCATATTTCAGGAGCCAGTGCCGCCAAAAACGATGATATCATGTCTGTTCTTCTTGCTCACGAAAAACGTCAAACTGATAACAGTGCCGCAAACGCAGTTAAAGGATTGACGAACGAGTCCGATTCCAGTTCAGACGAGATGAACGAAGTGAAAAATACAAATGAGGACGTCGAAATGATGGAGAGCGACGAAGACGAGGATGATCACGTTCCGACGGTCACTGTCGGGAATCGAACTTACCCCATTACTGATATCAATGATACTATTATCGCGGAGATGACTCAAGCCGAGAAAGAGATATATGTCCAAGTGTTTCAGGATTATTATTCTCATATGAGTTATTGAGTGTCTAGGTATTTATTATACACGTGTACTATTAGGAAAAAAGTTCTTATATCCTTCTTAAGATTTTATGGTAATATATTTTTTTGTACAAATGACTTTTAATTTGTTTAAAAATTTTATGTGGACAATAATGTGGTTTATATATTAGACAGTGCGGTGTCAGATCATACACAGGTTTGGTTTGAAATGAACCTTTTCCACATAAACAATCAAAATACAATTCAAAAAAGTTTTTTCTAATGATAATATAAATGAATTTGGTAAAGCATTGCATAAGAAAACATGACGTGATGTGTATACAATAATTAATGTCCAATATGCTTTTTTTTAATGGTCCTGAGTTTTGTGAGACGCCCTGATTTTTTGTAATTTTTTCAAGTCCCACTTAACCTTTTGGTGAGACGTCAAATGTCCCAAATTTAAAAATTTATTGGGACCACGTTTTTAAAGGTAACCATTTAAATAATTGATAGAAGTAACAACAAAATGTTGCATATACAGTAAAAATATTGTATATTCAAGATTTATCTAAAAAAATTAAGAAAATGTAATTTGAAATAGAAAAACTTTCTTCAGACGTGGAAAAAGGTGCATTAGAGACCGTGGGGAAATTATTTTCTCAAAAATCGCGGCTGATATTCAGGAAAAGAATAATGTACATACTTTTAAAAGTGGAAAAATCCAATACTAAAGTCAACGTTGTTGATAAGTGAAAAAAGTGATGTTTCAAATAATATAACTGGTTAGTCGCTCCATTTCATAAAGCTGCCTGTTTTTTTGACACAACAATCTGATCGCATTGTTAAAGAAATTAATTAATGTAAAAAATCGAAAATCTTGGAGTCGGGTGTTGTTATAAAATTATAAGGTACTCTGAGTTTATGAGAAATATATTTTTGTGAACAAATAATACAAAGTTTGATAACACGGTTGTCCAACTAGAAAATATTTTGTTTTCTGCCGAGTCCACTTTTGCTCTTCACGGCCATGTTAACTGTGAAAATTGTTGCTACTGGGCTAATGAAAATCCTCACTGGATGAGAGAATTGCTTACACATAATCCTGAAAAGGTTAATGTTTGGGCGGGTACAATTAAAGACCATGTCACTGGTCCCTTTTTCATTGATGGCATCTGAGTGGAGATAACTATTTACTTCTGCTCCAAAATAATGTCGTGCTAGTAGGATGGAGCACCACCACATTATTGAATCAAAGTCTGGTAATACTTCGACTTAACATTTCCAAATTGGTTGATAGGGAGGTGAGGATCGCTTGACTGGCCAGCACGTTCTCCTGATCTTACACCCTTAAATATTTTTCTATGGGGACGTGTGAAAAGACTAAACGAAGCGATATATAGCTGACTTAAAAAGAAAAATAACGGTTGCTGTTCGGTCAGATGTTGGAAAATGTAAGAAGAGATTTTTATTTACGATTAGGATGCTGCCAAGGAACTCATTTTGAACATCTTCTATGTTGAAGTTTTCTTTTAGTTTGCTATATAGCGAATTTCGTCAAGCAGATGAATTTATTATTTTACTGCTAATTTTTGCAATAAATATGTAAACCATAGCAATTTTGAATAGAGAATGAAAAGACCTTTCAAAAGATGGTATCACAAGCCCTTACTCCCAATTTAAAAATTTAAGGGTTAACTGTCACTTGAATTTAAGGATCAAATGTTTACTTTGCAAGATGTACAATAATTGAGATACTGAATTTATTCCATTTGGCTGTTCCACACTATATATTCTCTATGTATGTAATTAATTCACTCGCTTCCTCGTCGTTTATGAATTATAACTTTTCACTTGACGATAAAACGTTATTTTATTGTCTAGTACAATAAATATGAGTTTGTTTTGTAAGTTATACTCGAAAATCAGATTTTTTTTGAAAAACAATGTAGTAATTTGTAGAAAATTGAAAGATGATTCCGAAAATATAATTTTGATTGTTAACGTAAAGCAGTGGTGTACCTACTATTTTATTTAGAAAAATATGTCACGGATACCCTGTATCTCCACCACTGGAGCATCTAAATTTTAGAAAAAGGCCTTAGATTTTGGACAATGTTTTTATAAATACTTGTGTCCAATTTCAAATTATTTCACTTACTAGTTTTTAAATTATTTAAAAGAATTTAAAATATTTTTTAACACCCTGTATCTTTTTAACAAAGCGCTCAAGATAAAAATTCTTTACGAAAGAGCCCTTAAAATTCACCAAAGAATACGAGGTTTAATTTTTGGTCACCATTTGTAAATCACCCTGTATTTTTGACCTGAGAACATTATACAGTGAGCGGCAAAAGTATGGAATATATTTATTTAAAAATCAGATGTTCGTTATTTGAAAAATCGCTCGGACCCGTCGAATTATATTTTTAGTTGCGCATTTTCTAAAGCAATTTCGGTGCTATAAATTTGCAAAATAACCTGGCTCGTAATTTAAATAGTGACATTTAACAAAATCATATTTTATACAATAAAATTATGCGTTTTTAATTAAATTATACCTAAATACCTCACTTGTATTTTTTACATTCAAGTCATTGCGTCCTAATGATCAAAATAAATCACCGAACCACTTATTTCTTATGGATTTTTCTGATTTGAAGCAACTTTCTGTGAACCACACAAATCTAAGATGGAAAAGTAAACGTGGTTTTATTTTAAAACCAGCAGGGTAAATCTCAGGGCAATTTTAGAAAATTTTCCTTACTCTATATTCAAACGCCATTATCTCGAAAACGGTTAAAGATAGGTATAGGTTATGTTACATAAAAAATTATCAGAATTCCATGGAGAATTGAATAAAAGAACAAAAAAGTGGGGTTTCTAATTAAAAAAGTTGGCCTTGATTTCATAACTTTTTTTTGGGCCACCCTGTATAAATGAAAATTTCTTCAGAAAATGCGCAACTAAAAATATAATTCGACGGGTCCGAGCGATTTCTCAAATAACGAGCATCTGATTTTTAAATAAGTATATTCCATACTTTTGCCGCTCAATGTATGTATCAGCGAGTTCCCTAGTGCATAAAATCTTGTCAAAATATTAAAAAATTCAGTCTTGAAAACTATTTAATTAATAAAACTTTCTATTCGTTCTCCTAATGTTTCAGTCTCGTATGTTACTCGCGGTTTTTATACTGTATATCTTATTTTTAACATTTTTGTGTAGTTATTTTTTCTATTAATTTTATTTTATTTATAGTGTTTTTCCACTCTCTACATGGTTATGACTATTACCATACCCAGAAATAAAAAATTCTTATTAACCAGTCTATAAAAAATGGAGATGTGCCTCGAACATGTCAGTTGGACATGTCGTGAAAAATGGACATGTCCTGAGGCCACTTTTCAAGATTGAAAAGTTGTAATGCGAATGCGCGGAATTATTTGTTGTATTCATAATTCCCGCAAAAAATTTTTAAGGTTGGTATATGTGAAATTAAAGTAATTTTCTTGGTAATTGTTTACATAAAACTGACATTTTAAAAATATAACCTCTTTTATATGTCCATACATACATATTTTATTTTATTATTTTTAGCAAAGTTAACGATTAGTAAATACTGTAAATAGTAATCAGTTGATTCTTAATTTAATATTTAATACACACATAGTTTATAAATGAAATATGACGACAAAATCAACAGTTTGGTTATATTTTTCAGAATTGAGTAAAAATCATTATAAATGTAACTTCTGCCCAAAAACAATTTTTAAGAATTCCAGTAGGATGGAAAAACATTTAAAGAAGTGTATTGACTGTACGAGGAAAATTAGAAACCAGTTTATAAAAAAGTCTAAAGGTAGGTAATAAGTAAAATATATTGAACATATTCATTAGAATAAAAGTAATATTTCGTTTTGTGTACCCTCAAGCAGTGACCTGTGAAAACATGATGTCACTCATATGTGGCTTATTAGATTCAAGGTCAAAAGAACTTTTGCCGACATGTCCGTAACACACTTTTCTGAAAAGTGCCCATCTCTAACAGAAAAAAAACATTTCACAATAAATAAAGGTTTATTATTTCTCCTATATAAAAATAAAAAATATAAAAGCGTGTAATACATATAAAATATAAAAATATATGCCTAGTTTAAGATTGAATACTTGACGTCTAAAACTGAAAATAAATACTAAAGAGAAACGATGATGCTATATTACGGACTACCACCTCAACGGAGAATTTTCAGAATGCGGATATTTGTGTGGACTGAAAAGATAACGTAATAAGTGAAGAAAATATGTCTAGAATTCTTGGAGTTACCTCGAGTTAACAATAGTAACCGACTGCGGATTGACTAACGGATGCAACTTATCGACGAGTCTTTTGTAGTTCCTATCGAGTTCTCTTTGGTAATCTTTTTGGTCTGGTCCAATTAAAGTCTTGTTTTTCCTCAACGCATCATGACACCTAAAAACGAAGAAATTAATTCTTTCAAATTCATAGATTCTGTCAGAAAAAACTTACTTCTTGGAGAAATCCTTAAAGCACAACCTCAGCTTGTTCTGGTGCTTGGTCAAAGCTTTTCCGTCGCTAGGCAGAAATGTCACCGCCATTTCCAACGGTCCCTGATTCACCGTCGTACCGATGCACCCTTGCAACACCATCTGCAAGATCTTCGGATCTGGCGGCTCCTGTTGTGTGGCGGTCGCCAATTCGGTAGTCTTCTTCTGTATGTCTTCAATGGCGACCTTTAAAATAACTTTTTGTAATCGAAAAACAAGCAAAAAGAGAAAAGATCTTACTTCGATGGGAGTTAAAGTAATTTGAGATCGAGACACGACCTGAATTCTAGTCTTGACATAAGGGAAGTGAACGGCTGTGGTGAGAATCGTTTTGCGCTTATACTGCTCCCTTAATTCCCCGTGCGCCTTTCCAGTCATCGTAAATGGTGTCGCATACACAAAACGCTCTGAAAAAATTTGTACAGAATCCACACGTAACGTATGTTATTTCAATTTACTTATATTGAAGTTCCTATCAAAATGTGTCTGCCTATAACGTAACTCGTACTGTTCGAAGTACGGTTCCACGTAAGTGATTTGTATGTAGGCCATGTCGGAATCCAAGGAATTCAAGTCCACTATGTTGGAATCCTTTATGATTATGACGTTTTCTGGGCCGAATCTTTCTGCGTAAAAGTTCTATAAACAAAAAATGTTATAAATTTATCGCAAGACGATAGTAAGATTAATAGAACCTCTAGGCGACTAAAAATTTCCGGCAATTTCGTGAGGGTGGGTTCCTTGTATATGAACTCCTCTCTGTCCAAATCCCCAAATTTTGACCCATAGAAACCGACTCGGAAGTACGTTCCGAACATCCGTTTACCAGAAAGCTGATCGATCCTTGTAAAGGCGTCGTGCAATTTTCTACAAATATAATTTCGTTAATTATGCAGAGGGTAATGGGAGTCAGTTTTTAGGAGTAATAATATATGCTTCGCAGAATGCTAATATAATATTAATAATTTTTTTTAAGTCAAATAAATGGTCGTGTTATTATTAGAAATCGACCGATACCGAATATCTAGGAAAATACTGCACCGAAAAATTTGAAAATTTTGCAACATCAATGTCCCCGGAGCGAACACAACTAAAATATTTAGAACTCTTCAGCACTTCCAGTTGTACCAGAATTCGACACCAACATTGTTATTTTAAATGGAACACCCTATATATTATTGCATTTTCGGATTCTACGTGAAATTTGGGGGTCACTTTATTAAATATTCCCTGTACCTAGGAGTTATAGAATTTGAGATATTAATGTTTAAAGAAAAAATTTGACAGATGCAAGGGTCCGCGGAGATGCTAGTAACTCTTTTCAGCAGCGTGATATCAAGTGGATTTTTGGTAAAGGGCATAGGTAACACTAAATTATGGTATACCAACAAATTAAAACATTTAATACTAGGTGTTTCGTTTTTGCTGTTACATTTTGATAACTTCAAACAGCTATAACTTTGTTAACAAATGGAACACCCTGTATTTTTTTTACTCTGTCGTATGTAGATTGAAATTTCCTTTCAAGCCATATAAGCATTGTTAGGTTTGCCGTCACTACTTTTAGAGATATTTGCTATTTTCTATTTTTTGGACAGTTTTTTTCGTATCAGAATTGTTGTCAAATTGCCCATGACTAGAAACACTACAAAAACAATTGAAATAACTTGACATTTGTCAAGTTAGTTGTCAAATTATTCTTGCGTCTGAATAGTTGCCTAAATAAATAAATGCCTGGGAACCGTTAAATTATACTAATGAGGATTATTTTAATTACAACAAATTAAAATAAACCTCATTAGTATAATTTACATGATCCCCAGGCATTTTTATTTCAATTTTCTGCAAAAACTATTCAGACGCAACAATAATTTGACAACTAACTTGACAAATGTCAAGTTATTTCAATTGTGTTTCTAGTCATGGCCAATTTGACAACAGGTCTGATATGAGGAAAACTGTCCAAAAAATAGAAAATTGTGAATAACTCTAAAAGTAGTAACAACAAACCTAACAATGCTTATATGGCTTGAAAGGGAATTTCAATCTGGTATTAAATGTTTTAATTTGTTGGTAATTTAATGTTATTTATGTCTTTTGCGCGTACCAAAAATCCACTTGATATCACGCTCCTAAAAAGACGATTTCAATGGTGAGTTCAGATTTTTTCTATCTTCCATTGTTTCAGAGTCGCGATAGTCAACTTTGTTTTTCTTATGGACGCCATATTGGTTCTCCTCATGGATGGATAAAGAAAAAAATTACGAATTCAACGATGTATCACACTTTACACAAATATCCTGTCTGCCTGCAGCAATTTGAATTTGTTTTTAATTTTTCTGAAATAGTAGGCTGATACAAAATTTCGTGACGCTATCTTAAAAAACAAATGTGTTATAACAAAAAACAGAAAATCAATATTTTCACTTTTTTCGAGATATCTCGGAAACTATCGAAGATATCTTGGACCTGTTTTCACCAAAACACTCGCCCCATAATTGTGCAACTTTTTTGTAATTTGAGCCACCCTGTATGGCTAACGGTTTCCGATATCCCTGTAGTCTCCCTTTAAATAGTTCTAACCCTGTATAGGGAGTCCCATTTAAAATAAGAAAGTTGGGTTGACTTCCGGTATAACCGGAAATGCTGGAGAGTTCTAGATATTTTAGTTGCGTTCGTCCCAGAGACATTGCCATGTTGCCAAATTTTAAAAATTTACGGGGCAGTACCTTCCTGGATATCGATCGACGCAGTTCCCGGTGGGACACTCTGTATAATATTAATCCACCTGATGTGATATGACAATAAGACGTTACGAAACGCAAAAGGAAACAGCCCCATAAATAGTGCAAGGTATTGAAGGTTAAATCCATAAAAGAAAGTGAATGTTACAGCTGCCATACTGGGTATTTTTATAAGACCTAATTTTTATGTTCTGTATGTGTATATTACACAACAAAAGGGTGAATAATGAATAATTTGAACTATTTTGGGAGAAAATATACTTAAGTGTTTGAAGGAGAACACTACAGAGCTATTTCAAATAAAAGTGCTAAGATCAACTTTGGTTGTAAAAAAATTAAATGCTGATAAGTGTATTTTGATATATTTGAAACATTTTAATTATTTGACTGACATCGCACAGAAATGTTGAGGTCCAATTATTGCAATTTTGTAAATTTATGTGTTTCAATTGAGAAATTAATTTTTTAAATCAGTAAAGTAAAAAAAAATAAATAAAATAAAACTACCTCAATAATTTACTTACCCATGAATATTGGCTAGCTTCTTAAAGTCCCTATTATTCTCCGCAATGGGTATTAGCACTCGGTAAATGTCATTCATCGGCTCATACATCGCGGCCGCGTGAAAACTGCTAGCAGCGTGCTCTAACAACCCTAACAACCCCGCTTCCGTGAAATGCGAACCCAGACACCCGCCTTCCCTCTCTGGACTCAGAACGTCATCGGAAACGGCACTCTCCTCCAAAATGTTCGGACTGACCCGTTCCAGAGCCGCCGCACCAGCCGGCAAATGCGGGAGAGACTCCAACATGACCAAATACTCCGCGACGAGAGCGGCGGAATGCACTAAACACATACCGGCCTCGGTATGGTTTCCCCTCTCCATGTGCTTCTGGGCCATGTTCGCTAGCCACGTTAATCGTAGATCGGGGGAGTTTTGGTAACCCTTAGCAATGCGGTACATGAGATCCAGCAACATCTCGGGATCTTCTTGGAATTCTTTCATTTTCACCGTATCGGACAGGATCATATGCAGGTTGAAGACCAAGTCTCGCACCTGTTCGGGGAAGGTGGTTTCCTGAAGCTCGGAATCTCTCTCGCCGTATTCGAGGATGGTTTTGAGGGAACGTCGGAGGGAGTCGTCGCTAAACGAGGCCGAGGTGCCTACGAGGCTGCTCAGGGACATGGTGACTTGCATTTTCACTCTTGCGAAATTCTGAATAACACAAAAATAAAAGAAAAACAAAAGTAGGGTTATCTTTTATGCTTACATTGCCGATTTGGAATGTCTGTCTCATCAACAAATATAAAGATGCCGCGGCTTGCGATCTGACGGAAGCGATTTGGGATCCGCAATGTTTTAATAAGAGTAAACATAAGTCGGCGCAGTGGGTACTTTCTTCATCGAACAAAGCGCTGTGAAACTGAAAAAGAAAGTGTTGGTCATATAGATGGTGTAGTATTAATTGCGAGTGAGTTTTTTAAGAGTAATAGTACGTGTCCCGAGAAATACTAATTTGAAATTCAATTTTTCTAAATAAAATAAACAGTTGAGTTTATAATTCATTTTTTAAATTGCACTCTTGTCTACACCGTCACGGGGCAGTTCCCAATCTCAGTTGTATATGTGTGCCTTGCAGTGTTGCCTGCAGTTACGATTTTCAAATCAATTGTATGAAATTAATGATTCAGAAGAAAGCAAAACTGTAATGGAAAAAAATTTCATAAAAACAATCCTTTTGTATCGCTTTTCATCACATTATTTTGGAGACACTATATGTTTTTTATGTCAATGTAGACGAAGAGCCGAATATTAAAAATTTTTAGTGTGTTTAACATATTTACATTTTTTTCATGATTTATTAAATATTAACTAATATTGGTGTGTGGATACACACTCACGCACATGTTACATTTGTGGCGCAATATTTTGATAGCCCAACTATAAAATTGTAGACACTATTAAAATAGGTTTAAAATTGAATGTCACAACTTAAAATTGGCACCAACTCTTTATAAAATTGCAAATGTAATGAAAAAATACGGTAGACAAGAGAACAAAAATGCAACGCAACTTTACAGTTTGCGCAATTTATTGAACTTGCAGTGTTGTTCACGCTTTGCAATGCCAAAGTTATGCTATTTTTGAGATTGCGCACTACAAAAAGTATAGAAGTACGAAAACAGCTTAAATAAAACAAATTTGTTTTAAAATAAATATTTTTGCTATTTAAAATTAAAATATATAATAAAAAATATTTTTAATGTATACTAAATTCAAAAGTGAAGACAATAAGCTGTATGAATTAAGAAATAACGACAATAATCGGATGTTATATNAAAGCAGCTTAAATAAAACAAATTTGTTTTAAAATAAATATTTCTGCTATTTAAAATTAAAATATATAATAAAAAATAAATAAAAGTAATTATTAACCTGATAGATTTGATATCATTTTGTTAAAATCATTTCAAATTTTTAATAAAAAATATTTGTTACTATTTTCTTAAAGCACTGTATCTAGTTTTGTGAATATTAGTGTCAATGACCCTTGAAATATTGACCTAGTTCTACACGGGCAAAAAATATACATGGTGATTTACAACTTATCCAAAAAAATTTGGGAATAGATGCGGCATGAAAAATGGAGTCAATATCGTAAAAAAAATTGTAAAATCGTTAGTTTCCGAGAAAAAAATTATTGAAGTTGTAGTACTTTCCACCATTACATCACTGGACAACTGTAGTCTCTGAAGTCATTCATGTTGTAAGATTTCCGCAATGCGCATGGAGAGTTACAAAGCCCCATCGACTCGGAATACTAAAATCCGATTGTACAATAGTGTTTACAATAGTTTTTTAGTAGTTAGTGTGAAAAATGGCTTATGTGCATAGCAACTCGGAGTTGATGGAAATTGTTTTAATTTATGGTGAAGCAATTCATAGTTTCCGAGAAAAAAATTATTGAACTTGTAGTACTTTCCACCATTACATCACTGGATATCGTAGTCTCTAAAGTCATTCATGTTATAAGCTTTACGCAATGTGCGTGGAGAGCTACATGGCCCCATCGACTCCGAATACTGAAATCCAATTTAACAATTGTCGTTGTGATAGTGTTTACAATAGTTTTCTAGTTAGTGTGAAAAATGGCTTATGTGTATAGCAACTCGGAGTTGATGGAAATCGTTTAAATTTATTGTGAAGCAATCCTTAGTTTCCGAGAAAAAAATTATTGAAAATGTAGTACTTTCCACCACCATTACATCGCTGGATTTCGTAGTCTCTAAAGTCATTCGTGTTGTAAGCTTTACGCAATGCGAGTGGAGAGCTACAAGGCCCCATCGATTCCGAATACTGAAATCCCATTTTGCAATTGTCATTGCGATAGTGTTTACAATAGTTTTTTTTTAGTAGTTATGTGTATAGCAACTCGGAGTTGATGGAAATCGTTTTAATTTATGTTGAAGCAAGACAACTTTGTGTTAGTTCATAGAAACTTGGTAAAACGGGCCCGAATGTGTTTACACTTCGGTGGACAAAATTTTGAACAGTTGTTTTAACATCAGGTATGTCAAGTTTTATTAAGTAAAACCACAAATTAATTTCACTAATAACAATAGCGGCAAAAGCAGTTGAATTTGTTGATGTGGTGTTACAAAATTCTATTTATTTCTTTCCTTGCGAAATTANTCATTCATGTTGTAAGATTTCCACAATGCGCGTGGAGAGTTACATGGCCCCATCGACTCGGAATACTGAAATCCGATTGTACAATAGTGTTTACAATAGTTTTTTAGTAGTTAGTGTGAAAAATGGCTTATGTGCATAGCAACTCGGAGTTGATGGAAATTGTTTTAATTTATGGTGAAGCAATTCATAGTTTCCGAGAAAAAAATTATTGAACTTGTAGTACTTTCCACCATTACATCACTGGATATCGTAGTCTCTAAAGTCATTCATGTTATAAGCTTTACGCAATGTGCGTGGAGAGCTACATGGCCCCATCGATTCCGAATACTGAAATCCAATTTAACAATTGTTGTTGTGATAGTGTTTACAATAGTTTTCTAGTACGTAGTTAGTGTGAAAAATGGCTTATGTGTATAGCAACTTGGAGTTGATGGAAATCGTTTAAATTTATTGTGAAGCAATCCTTAGTTTCCGAGAAAAAAATTATTGAAATAGTAGTACTTTCCACCATTACATCGCTGGATTTCGTAATCTCTAAAGTCATTCGTGTTGTAAGCTTTACGCAATGCGCGTGGAGAGCTACAAGCAGTGATGTAAAATGACCGTCATTTAAACGTCATGACGCGGTCGACCGCGTCATGATAGGTTTTGTTTCTTAAATATTTAAATTATTATTATTTTTTATTACAATAAAATAAAATCACTTTATAGATACTTTTGATGATTTTATTAATGTTAATATTAAATTAATATGTATTAAATATTCATTGTCAATGCGGTAAGAAGTAGGTTTATGTTCCACCTGGTGACGTGGTGTCCTTAAAACTTAACCAATGGTAACAATTTTTTGTTTTATTACTTTATACTTGTCATCTATAGCCAAAGAACATGTTTTTTGTGTTGTTTGTTTTGTAGTTAAAAACTTTTTTGATATTAATATAGTTTTGTTGATGAATTTATTAAGGCAATATTGAGATTCAGTAATTTATATTTTAGAAAAATGACATTAAATTACATTTAAGTACTGTTATTTTTCCTAACTGAAACTATTTATGACGTGTAATGACCGTCATGAACTGGTCACGAGTTTAAATGACGGTCATTTTACATCACTGGCTACAAGGCCCCATCGATTCCGAATACTGAAATCCCATTTTGCAATTGTCATTGCGATAGTGTTTACAATAGTTTTTTTTAGTAGTTATGTGTATAGCAACTCAGAGTTGATGGAAATCGTTTTAATTTATGTTGGAGCAAGACAACTTTGTGTTAGTTCATAGAAACTTGGTAAAACGGGCCCGAATGTGTTTACACTTCGGTGGACAAAATTTTGAACAGTTGTTTTAGCATCAGGTATGTCAAGTTTTATTAAGTAAAGTAAAGAATTAAGTAAAAATTAATTTCACGAATAACAATAGCAGCAAAAGCAGTTGAATTTGCTGATGTGGTGTTACAAAATTCTATTTATTTCTTTCCGTGCGAAATTAATTTAATTTAATTTAATTAATTAATTAATTTTAATTTAATTTAATTAATTAATTAATTTTAATTTAATTAATTAATTTTAATGTGACAAGTGACCAAATGTGTTATCACAATCAAATTTGAGAAAAACTAACGTGTTCTTAAAGATCAATCCTAATTTTCACTTACTTTGAACACCAGACTGCGTTGCGAAGCAAACATATGCGGCAGCACGGTAGTGCTCTGATTCTTCCCCAGCGCGTGCAGCAGAACCGTAAGCGCCAGTCCGACTAAATGCTGTTGGGAATCCCACTGAGAAATAGTAGCGACGCACCGCTCCAAAGTATCCAAGATAATAAACGACGCCTCTGTTGCGAAGTGGCCCTCTAGGTGAATGTCGTTTATGAGATCGTCCTTGGGGCGATCGATCTGATCCAAGCCCGACCTGTACATCATCTGCTCTTTGCGCCAGCGGACCTTCTCCGTGGAGGACTGCGGGGTACCACCTTAAAAACACTTACATTCACTAACACGCAGAAAGTTGGACGTTATTAAGTTACCTTTCCTCCTCTGCATCATTTCTCTAGCGGAGCCCTGCCCGAGAATGACATCTTCGAGTCTGGATCGCATGTCCTGCGTTCCTTGGGCGTGAGCATACCCTGAAGGCGGTGGGGCTCTTCTTCTCGGCTTGTACTCGAAGCAACTAGTACACGCGTCGAGTAGGTGAAGCAGAGTCGCCAGACGAGACGAGGTCAGCTCGCCTAACCATTGGGAGAGGGATTCTCGTTCTACGTTCTTCAGTACCCACAGAACGCAAGTTAGGATGCTCCGGGTCACATCCGCGCTGATGCCAAGTTTCCGTGATTGCAGCTACAAACAGAAAATGAATTAGTAATAATTAAAATATTTTAAGCAAAAATCGATTATGTTCGTTTCACTCACATTTGGAAAGGTGTCGCATGTAGAAGGCGGGAGCTTCCCCGCTATAGCCATAGCCACAGTTTGGTTGATGTTGCTAGGCCCCGAGTCGTCGCTGTTGTATTGCGTTTTGTCCATGGTAAAGTGATGCAGGAACGGAAGGACGTCCATGGCGATAGAGAGCAGCGGTAAATAGAGAGCCGCCACTCTCTGGCGGCCCTCTGGGGAGGTGTAACGCGGATCGCTGTCGTGCCAGGATAAGAGAAATCTAACTGTGTCGACTGCTTTACTGTGAAGCGATGACTGGCTACAAATTACAAGACGTTTTAAACTCTGACGTTATTAGAATCATTTATATACAAGGTGCCTGCAATATAAATGTCGTATGTTTAAAATTTGATAGTACAGAACTTTTATACATTTTCGTTTGAGAAAGGGAGAACGATCACGGGGGGGCAGTACTACAGTGAATTATTGCAATGTTTCGGCTAAGAAAAAAAATGCTGTTTCAGTCATGAACTGCTCTACAAATTGCTGCCGTGCCCAACTGGCTCCCGGTGACTGCTTTCTGTTCACCAACATGAAAACGTGGCTCGGGGGAAAAAATTCAGCTCAAATGTAGGGGGTATCGCCGAGACAGATATATATTTTGAAGGGTTTAACAAATTGTATTTTTTGGAGGGGGCAAAAAATGGCAGAAATGTTGGGAAAAGTGTATCAACTTAAAAGATAACGTTAAAAAATTAAAAAAAAACAAAAAAACTTTTTACTTCTTTTATTACTTTTGAAATGAACGGACTTAAAGTCAATATTTGTTTGAGTTTATTTTGCAATTCCGATATGCCGCAGGTGGTATTCACTCCCGCACCAATCTCAAAAAAGGGCATTTTGCATACACTAAAGCTTTCTTGGCGAGCCGCTCAATAGTAACCTTCTCCCTTTATCCGTTTGGCATATTTTGAAGGCGATTCCTTAACGTCTTCCGAGTGAAATTTCACTTTTCTGGGAGATCCGCCGCCAAAAAAGCAAATTTTCGCTGTGGGAGGGAGACAGAACCCGACGGGAACGCCCACCGACGGACGTTTTGAGAGTCGATTTCAAATGCTACATGTTTTTTTCCAAGGACCCATCGAGGGTTTACTCAGCTTCTACGTGCGAGTTTCGTCCTTTCTTTGTCTCCACGGAACGTTTTCGAAGGATATTTTTTACTTTTTAACGCCAAAATTTGCTTTTTAAAAAGGTTCTGCACCTTGCATGTCTCTTGCGGGACCCCGATATTTTCGTAAGGCCCAGATTATTTTGCTCAAAACGCAATTTACGCGGCATCATATTTTCCTTTATGGATACTGCCGGTACCCGCGCTTTGTTCCGAGAGGGAGCCCAAACTTTTCTCTTTGCGTTCGAGCAGCTCCCGCGACCCGGTGACGTCCTTTCTGCTACCGGGCCGCGTCGCAAAGTGCTCTCTCTTCTATACCACCATCAACTTTTATTAGGTCAAATGTAACGAAATATAAGACGAGATTAAAAATATTTTGATACAAACTGTCACCGCAGTAGAAACGTCAGAATTGTCAAAACTGAATTTCCCGATTCCAACGTTTCCCGCGGCGCCAGTACGGCGATTATTTTTATGTTTTATACCATTCCGAGTTCTTCGCGGACGATTTTATGGCAGAAAAATGCAATTTTTAACATTACAAAAATGTTTTACTTCGACTATGAACTCAAATACCAATACGAACAAACTCTGTCTAGAGGCAATGATAGCTTAGCGGCAGTTGACGGTTGGAATCTCGCACGGGATCCCTAAGAATTTTTTTTTTACTTATTGCCATATTTTATCTTCATTATGGAGTTTTCTTTTTAAATCTTTCCATAAGAAGACAATAAAACTTCTCAAATAGGTTTTTGTACACAAGATGTCTAAAAATATTGCGTTGAACTTCAAACGATCCAGAGATAATTATGAAGTTATGATGATGATGATTTTTATATACAGGGTGTTTCAAAAAATGTTATATTTACCAATCGGCGAGGAAAACACCGCACAGCGCGGCTCGAGGGCCGAATGCCCGAGAGAAAGGTCTACTCCGCGTCAGCGGAGTTTGCCGACCTTTCTAGTATATTGTTAATCGTTGAACATATAGCAGTTATATCTGGGGCACCCTGTATAATAATTAAAAAAAACGGAATTATTTTTTTTTGTGATAGAAAATGTGTTATTTCGTTTTTACTTACTGCATTTCTAGAAGCACCGTTGCCAAATCGGAAAGAACCATTCCAGTGAGAAAGTGATGCTGCCGATACTCCGGCGACAACTCCGCGAAAGTACTGGCTCTCTCTTGGCTGGCCGGTGCCCCGGACAAAAATGAATTCTGACTCGTAGAACTCGTAACGCTCGGACTAGGGGACACGTTGGCGCTGCTAGACATAAAAGGAGAAGCAAACGGCAAATTCAAGGCGACGTAATGCTCGTGACTGCAGATGATCCTGGCGAATTCCAACTTAAGCTCTACCAGAACGGAATCCAGCATGGAAGCGATTTTTGCTTGCAGCTGCTTGTTGTACGACCTCAACAACTGAAACACCCAACCCCTATCGGCGATGGAGAGCAAGTCGTAGAAGAAAAAGGCCAGGGCGGCGTTGAGCTTATGGGCTTTGCGCGTTTCGCCGGTGGAATGCGATATAATCTCCGCGGTGACGGTGTGGACCAACGTGGAGATGTCGTCGAGGAACTGGTCGGAGAACCTTAATTTCCTGGGCGAGTCTAGGCTTCTGGTGTGCGCCAGGTGCTCCACCATACTCTTGACGATCAGTTCGTACAGAAACCAAGCGTTCTGCATGGCTAAGTCCTTAGATCTGCCGCTGGAAACCACCCACTGCAACGCCAGTTCCTGGTGTACGATCCTCTGGCATGTGATGCTATTCGGGCTGATGAGTTCGTTGGTCGGTACCCGCATACTCGCCGCACGATCGAGACCTCTGGAATATTGCACGTGAGCTACTTCAAGATCGGGGTTGGAATTGCTGCGCGTTAAACTGGTGGTGCTTTCGTAATCGGGAGAGCTCTGATTGCTGGAGAATAAGGGATGAGGCATGTTGCACTGGTACTGCACGTACGTCGCTAATAGGGCGTTGCGGGAGTGCTGATCGATAGACAGCTCTTGAAGATTCTTAAATGAATGCATAACATTAACATCTATTTATACAGGGTGTAACTTTAAGTGGGGGTCATTTTTTAATGGTAGTAGTAAAGTCAAAAGTATAAAAAACAACTGTTACAGCTGCCATACTGGGCATTTTTATTACATATGTCTAATATTCTGATGTATGTGAACAATTATGAACAATTTCAATTATTTTAGGAGAAATATGCACCTAACTGGTAACCCCAAAACTGTAATACCATTAAATTCGCATGTGAATGCTAATATTCATTAAATTACTTACCGATATTTTTTCTAACAACAGACAAATTGCTTCGAAGCAAGTATGCCCAACGTTCAGAGTATGCCCCGACAATCTAGGAGGTTGCACCAGAAGTTCTATTATACAATCAAAAATCAGCGGTAGATTTCTCACGATTGTCTCTGGTCTCGCGCCTGACAGTCCCAGCATTGCAGCTCTATAAATTCCAAAGTTTAGCAAAAAAAAAACATGCAACATAAACATGCAGACCTTAACTCATTTTCCGAGCCCATTTCTCCCAACCTAGCTGGTATAATGCCGGTATGGACGACGTCGTAGGCCGCGAAGAATCTTTCAACCGGGGGATCATGGGTGTGAACCGAAGACGCTGTATCTAAAGTTACAGTGAATAGGCCCTTGTGGTTGTCGAGCCATTTTGTGCCCGGCAGGCAGACGTCGGGAGGTATGTAGCTGTAGTTGAGTGGTGGAGGTTCTAGCATTATCGGCAGACAGAATTCTCCCGACACAAAACGACCATCTCGCAGCAAAGGTAACCACTGCAAAAAATGTTATGCAAAATTTGAGTGAGCTGTGCGATTTCAGTGAAAATTTTTTTGCTTATAGGATCTTAGGATCTAATCTTTTTATGTTTAATTTTTAGTGAATTTATTGTAGTTTTTTAAAGAGGGTTTTTGAAAATATAAGCAAGATAGAAAAAATATCTCTTCACTGTACCAGTAATATAAGTTTTCTCCAGTGCATAAGACAGTTTACAAAATCACATCTCGCATAATGCTTTTATGAAGCTATTAACACATGAATTAATCATAATTATTGAGTATATTTACAAAATTTTTGATAAAACAGGAAAGGTACATTCCGATGCTTAAATGCCCATGTTTCCCGTGATCTTTCACTGTGAAAAACTGAAAAGACTCATCGTATTTCAATATTTTTCTAATTTAGATGGATTTTCTTGTTCCATTATTGTCTTACAAAAATTGGGATTTCTTGTCTACAAAACGTCAGCTATAAATGTATTTAGTCAAGATATTACAATGATCAAATTATTTTTTGCTATTTTTTTTGAGATTAGTTATTTGAAAAACTGCCAGCTTCATAAGTTTTTATATTTTTAGCTGTACTAAGAAGGCCGTAAAAAGCATTTTGAAAATTTGTAATTTGGTAGCTCCAAGAAACTTGAAAGTATCGTAACAAAAAAATCAAATGAAATTAATTTGTTTTAACAAAATGCGAAAAATTCATATGTTTTAAGGAAGTCGCAGGGATATTTAATTGGGAAAATCCAAATAGACACAGCCTGCAATCGTTTATAAAAACTGTGTTTTTATTGTTACTAATAATTGTAATGAGTACAGTGAAAATCGGTTATAACGACCTTGAAGGGACTGTTTGTTTACGGTCGTTATAACCGATAGACATAATAAGCAATGACAAATGTTTTATTTAAAATTATTATGGAAAAAATGAGAAAGTTACAATACATGTGTTTAAGTTTGTACGTGTACTGCTTTGTGTTCAGAACATCTCGCACATTTCATTTTCAGTAAACTGCTTTCGAATAGAGACTTAATTTTATTTCTATCCATCCAAATTGTTGAAATTGTAATGTGACACACTACATTCTTTTGCTATGCTTGCATTAGTTCCTCCGTTTCCTAGTCTCCCTATTATATGTCAATTTTCTTCTTTATTAAACACTTTTCTTTTCGATATCGTGATAGAAAGTGCTAATTAATACATATAATATAACTGTAAGGGTAGATAAATCGTAATTTGTTGCAAATGTATTAACTGGTGTCAAAAGCTTGGATACTGGCGGGACGGGCGGAAGAGCAGAGTATTGGTTTTAAGGCCGTATATCAGCATAGGTCGTTATAACCGTCAGATTCTATGGTAAATGTACATAAAAATGCGTCGCTAAATTTGAAATGTCGTTGTAAACGGTGTTGTAGTAAACAATATTTTTAATATGGTGTATTTCTATAGGATTTAATCGGAACTTTCAAATTCCGTCGTTATATCGAATATGTTGTATAAAGCAATGTCATTATAACCAATTTTCGCTGTAATTTGTCTATGTTGGAATTATTTTTCTGTATTTTTTTTTTATAATTGATAGTTAAGAAAGAAAAGTTTGCAATTTTATTTGTTGAAAATAATAAATCATAAGACGGACATATTTTTCTACATATAACTCAAATAAAACAATAAAACTGATGTAAATTAATGTTTAGTACAAAAAAAAAAAATTACCAGTTATTTTAATTCAAACTGTTTTTTAAAATTATAAAAGAAGCTAAATGCATTATTTATGTTTGTAACTTCCATTTTATAGAATAAATAGAATTTTGGAAGAAAATGAATGAGTTACTTATATACGAGTATAGACTAGGCAGTATCTGTTTTAGTTTGGGTGAATCGTATATCCACGGAGATTTTTGGCTTTCAAATATCACTAGAAATGAAAATTTTTCTATGAATATGCTAGGGAAAAGATGTTTGAAAAAAATGTACTAAGAGTTTTGCGGCGACTTTGTTGCCCTTACCTTTGGGGGTTTCACTATGTTGGCTCACTCGCTTGCAGCAGGAACTAGCACCCTTGCATCAATTTTGTGTATCACTTATATGTACCATTAGTCCAAATTTGAGATCTCAGTTGCGTATAGTTGCGTACTGTCTTGGTCAAAGCTCTTTCACATACACACACTTTTTAAAATTGAATGTAGACTCTTCTCCCCCTCATCGAGTCTTTTTCCCCACCCTCGGTTAGAGGACAAGGACAACATGAAATTAAATCGCGGAACGCGCGGTGATTTAAATAAAAAATAAATTAAGAGAGAAACGCAAACATTCTATGTGCAAAAAAAAATGTAGGCTTAACTTTTGGCGGCACAATATGTTAAAAAAAATGTCATAGTTTTCTTCCAATTTAGTTACGTATCTTTTCAAGAGTTGATTTTAGGCGAAAATAGAAGAGGAAAAAAATGTTTGTAATTAAATTTTTTACAAAATATGACTAGTTACAAATCAAATGAATCATGATTATTATTGTTAAAATCGAAAAAATCGCCAAAAATTAGGTTAAAAAACTACTCTAGGGAATTTTTTTGGGGTCTTTAAATTGGGTATAGGACCTTCATACTTGACTCAAGAAAACTTCATGATATGTAGAAACATCACACCAAATTTCATCAAAATTGGTTTGACAGATTTTGCATAATAATTTTGCAATCCAAATTTTGAAAAAAAATTTGCAAATTTTCAAAATTTTGCTCAGCAAAAACCAAGGCCCATAGATAATTGAAAATTTAATCACATATATAGAAGGGCTCTTAAGCTTTCAAACACTTTTTGAAAAATTCGAATCCGTCAATTAGGAGAGCTCTGGCGCTTGTTTAAACATTGGTCGAATTTTTGTACTTATAAACAATTAGAATAACTGCGAATATTCAACCAAATGAATTTTAAAATAGGTTTTAAAAGTTCTTGGAAAGATGCTTCTTTAAAATAAAAAGCAGATCGATTGGTCAATTAATTACGTAGTTATAACCGATCAAAGTTAACCGTCATTTACACTAAATGTACTGGGGCATCCGGGCTAATTTTTCAAAAAATACCTTTGGTATTCCGAGTACTTTCCAGGTCTAAGTTTGCAATACTTTTCTTCATTGGCAACCTACTTTAAAACGTGTTTAAAGTTATTTATGCAAGCGTGACATTCAAGAAAATCGTACGGGTGGTGGTGGTAGGGGAAGTAGAGCGCGGCCGCTTCGACCTGCTCAAAATTGAATCGGCGAGTTCAAAACCGCGACGCGCTTAAACATTTTTAATATCTCAGCTTCTAGAGGTCCGATTTTGATAATTATTTTTTTAATCGACCTTACCTTTGATACAATAAAAAAATAAAGTTGAAAATTAAAGGAAGTTTAAAGATAAATAATTATCGGACTGTTGAAAGACCAATAATTATTAACATAGGCATTTGAAAATACGCTAATTGCTTTTTTAACACGCGAGACATCGATTTACTTAATTATACTTAATTTAAAGGCCCCAAAAAAATTCCCTAAAAAGTAATGTTTTTTAACCCCATTTTTGGCGATTTTCTCAATTTTTACAATACTAGTCATATTTTGTAAAAAATTTAATTACAAACATTTTTTTCCTCTTCCATTTTCGCCCAAAATCAACTCTTGAAAAGATACGTAATTAAATAGGAAGAAAAATATGACATTTTTCGAATTTTTTTAGCATATTGTGCCGGCAAAAGTGAAGCCCACATTTTTTTTAAACGCTTAGAAAAATTTTCATTTTTAGTGATATTTGAAAGCCAAAAAGCCAAAAATCTCCATGGATATACGATTCACCTAAATATGGACTTTTTGAAACAGATACCATCTGGACTAGTATGCTACCAACAGAAAAGATAGATAGATATTTTTTTTATTTCCATGGCAATAATTTTAAATTAACATCTTTTAATTGGCTACAAAATACAGGTGAGAACATTAATTTCAAAGAAATCGCACAACTCAGCCAATTTTTATGATGGTGTCAAGGTCAAATTTAAACGCACTGTACATTCAGATAACTTATAAATATATTTTGCTTACCGTATATCCCACTGGAGTATCTACTGTGTTCTGTTCGATCTTCCTCTGACAAGAAATATGGTAAAAAGTGAACAGCAAATGGTGGTTGTCCCCCAAGGCGGCTGGCAGTTTGACTTTAACTTCGTCGTAAAAAACGGGACTCTTACTGTGATAAGTGACGGCCGAATAAGCCTCGTTCGTCATTTCCGGGCAGCTGGATTTCCCAAAAATGTTATACAGGGCGTGTTTCTCATCCTCACCGGCCATCAGTTGTATTTTCACCGCTAAGTTACGTGCGGATCCGGTACGATTGGAAAAATTCAGTTCCTTAGGACTGACTAATAACAAATTTCTGTAAGTGTAATGAGGCACCAGCAGTTCCTTGACGGGAAACTCCAGGAGCTCCTTTAAAGGCCTGACTTTATCGTCAGGGAACGGGTGTATCTTCACCAACTCGGTGGTTAGGCAGTTCTTCACTTCAGCCGGACAAGGAGATATTTCTAATTTGAAGGTTGCCGGAATGCATTTTAATTTTTTCAAAACCATCGTGGGTCTCTTCAGTTCTTGAAGGCATTTGTAGAGGTCTTCGTCTCTCAATTTTTCGCCTTCCTGTTTGAAAAACGACGACATCGTAAGCGTGATGGGTCGGAATGAATCCAGACTGGTCGCTAAATGGTCAGGCGACCAAGAACGTCTCTTATCACGCCTTTCTAGGGAGCCCCTCCTAGTTAGAGTTCCCATGTCTGTGGCCCTTCTCCTTAGCTGTTCTAAGCCACTACTGCACGATTTTCGATCTAATATAAAAAATATATTTTTACGAGAAAATAATTTTTTATGTATTGCAACTTGCCTAAACTGTTTGTATTAGAACCGGACCCCATCGAGTCCCTATCGGAGTCCCTATCCAGAGAATTCCCACCATTAATAACATTCACTAAATTAATAGCGGTCCAAGCAAACGCCTGTCTGTATTTTCCCAGCCTTTCACACACAGAAACGGCTATAGCCTTCAGCTTGTCTCGATTCTAAAAGAAAGTATGTCAAGTATACGACTGAAAGAAGAACGAAAACCGTACCTTATCCTCCTTCAAATAGGGCTCTATGCACTCATTAAGGTCACCTTGAAGAACTTTCTCCACACGAACTACGATGAATAAGTCGGACGAAGGATGCGATACATTAAAAATACACCCTCTCGCCAAGGAGCTGGTATCCGAATACATAACGTGACCGCCAAGCATTCTTTTCAACCCCTCAGGGTTCAAGTCAAAGTAAAATGTTTCCGACACCTTTTTTCGTTCTTTGCAGTCGTAAAGGGCCATCGATGCAAACAAGGGTTCTACCTCAATGTCCATTCTAAAATATTATATCCAAATTATACATTTAACGTTCATTCAAATTTTTAACTTACGTTAACTGTTGGCACTTGACCAGAATCCTGTGCCCCAAGTGTTCATAAGGGGCAGTTGCGGGAAGTCTTTTTTCGACAGGTTCATTGATTTCGTGCTGCAATTCGGTAGGCGTGAGAGCAAACAAGGTATCTTGTCTTTCCGTTTGCCTTCTGCTTTCATTTAACTGGTCCAAAGCTTCTGGTGCAGCATGTTCTAAAATTTCTGGGATTAAAGGGTCTCCCGCAGAGTGCCTTAGATCTAAAGAAGCCCAAGAATTTCTTGGAGTTAACGTGTCTCCACATGACGATGATGCCGAAGTGATCGATACTACACTTTGACGACTACTACTCTGTGAAGTTAAATCTATAAATTAAATATAGCAGTTTAGAATATTTAATGTCTGGTAAGAAAAATTACTCGCCTAATTCACTGCTAGCCTCGGATGGCGCTACTTGAAAATCTACTTCAAATTCTTGTTTGGGAGTAGGCAGCAAGGTTTTTGAAAGATTGCTTCTGCTTGAAATGCTACTACTTAATGATCTGTGATTATATCTAATAACCTTCCAATGAGATTTGTAACATTCTGCGCAAGCTCTAACATGAGGTAGTAACAGTTCTCTAAAACATGATTCAACATGAAACAGAAGTTACTAAAATTTGTAAACGTACAGTTTTTCCTCGGGTACTATGGGTAGTAAAGTACGAATGGGTCTTTCAATGACTTCCACTTCAACATCCCCTTGAGGTACGTCCAAGATGGACCTCAACGGGTCACGGTCGATTAAATTTTGGTAACCGCTCACAAATTCTTCAAAGTCTAGAGGCTCCGTAACGTCGTTATTCCAACTCTAAAATGTTTAATCTGTCTGTTTACAAATGTGATTTGTTTATATTTATTATTTATATACATACAGATGTAGATGAAGGCGATAACAGGCCACTCTTGTTGCAGGCAACATTTCTGCGTACATCTGCTGCATGTTGTCTGTAAAACAAACAGTGATGATTTATTTATTTAGTTTATAGTGCAAGGAAATGAATACATACTTGGATAATTTTTGTGTAAACGCCCTTTGGGTGGAGGCCATTTTGCCTTTTAAATTTTTTCTTTTTCTCTAAGTAGTTCAGATCAACAAATATGATGTTAATAATAGTTCATTTGTATCATAGATCGACTGTGCCTTTCTGCTTTAGGCATTTTGTTGTGTTACGTTTTAAATAAACACAAAAACTTAAATAATATCAGAATTACACGTAATCCTTCGTAATCATGATGAAGTGATATCTGCAGCTAATTTGGCTATAATAATAGAGCATATTAATTTCCTTTTCCTCTGATGTTATATTTAGTTATAGTTCAAATAATTGCCGTAAAAATTTGCCTAAATTGGCATTTCCTTAAAATGGTCAAATTGTCACAAGTGTCAAATTGAAGACTTGTTTTGGTGCTTTTGTTGTTAGGCATTAATGTGAAAGAAATTTATACTTTTAACAAATATTCAATGTTGTCATATTAAATGTAATGTTACCCAGACTATTTAAAACAGAGGCTGACCTTCGTAAACATCAGATTAACACATTAAAAATATTTAATGACAAGTGAGTATTACTAATGTTTTGAAAGCTGAAAACATGAAATTCTCCTTAATTTCAGTGTTGTAGAAATTACAGAAGGAGAGGAGTATGAAATTTCTTTTAATTCTGGTGTAAATAAACTTTGTTTAAAGATTACGTTAAGTAAAGAGTTCCCTAAAGAAAAACCAATACTGAAGATTGTCCCCGAGGTTGTCCACCATTGGGTTGGCAGTGATGGTCAAATAAAATCAGCACCTGGTCTCTTAAATGTATTTATCATGTACTTACTTGTGGTTTTGATTAACTTTTTCTTTTTGTAGTTTACTGTTCATTCCGATTTAGGCAGGGTTGTCCAAGCTATTATTAGAGAATTTCAACGAACACCCCCACCTTTAGTTTCAAATCATTCCTCTAATATAGTATCTCCCACTTTAGGTAAGTAAAAACGCATTAAATTTAAATATACCTACCACAAAATTTAATTTTAGATAGTGAGAAACGTACTAGTCCAATAAATTTTCATTCTTCATTTTCCACTATCAAAAGTTTTTCTCCACCTCCACACATGCCTCAACCAAGCTTTGTGCACCAAACTGTCCCATTCCCCGAGCTGGCTAATATGTCACTAGAAGAATTACAACTCCTTAATGAGAATATTGACATGCAAGATGATTTTGTGAATGAGTTACCACAAATTAAGGAACAAAATAAACATCTGGATGACGTCATTGTACAGGTCGAAGAATTAGCAGGTAACTTTTTAACAAAATGAAAAATTGACATAATTTATCCTTTTGTTTTTGCAGAAGCTAATCTGTCCAAGCAAAATAAGTTAAACGAACTTAAAAGCAACATTGACTCCAAGATAGAACACGTTACAAAACTTGCCTTTGAAAATGGAAGACTGCATGCGATATATCAAAATTTCTCCGACAAATTTTCACCTAGGAATATTAAGGTAAATTCATTGTTTATAGATTCAAGGCAAATCGAAGCCTCATTTTATTTTTTGTTTGTAGGAGCAGTTGAGGCTAGGGGCTGAAAAAGCGGATTTAGATTGTGAGAAAATAGCAGACCGCTTTTTAAACGGAGAAATAGATGTAGATAGGTTTGTAAATGATTTTATTAAAACCAAAGCTTTGTGTCAGACTCGGAAAACGAAGGAAGAAAAATTGTCATATCAATTGGATAAGTTGGATAGGGCTGGATTTTAACTCTTAGCTGTGCAATGACTTTTAGCATATTTGTATTGTGTAATTGTGATAGTTTTTTTTTTAAGTAATAAAGTTACTTAATGCGTTTGTTCCCGTTTAATGTGGAATTTTTTATTTTTAAATTTATTTTTTCACCAATTCTTGTTTTATTTCATTTTTTTTATGGAAGTAGTAAAAGTTTTTAATAAGTCGATGTATGGGATCTTACAACTTTATTGAAATAAAAATTAATATATTCACTATACAACATTCCTTTGAAAATTTCAACTTTTAACAAGCCATTTACAAAGGATTTTTCATTAGAATACATGTGTAAAATGACAAAACTATTTACAGTATTTCGAAATTACAGAGATTATCAGTACTTATTTTATTCATGTAGGTCGAAACTTTATTTCTTAATTGTATTATAAAAAACAAAATGGAGACATTTTTCCTTAATTAACAGAAAGAACATAGCAAATAGGCACTTAAAATTCCGTATTTACTAGAAGAAAATATACATATAATTTAAAAATATAAATAAAATCTACAACACAAAATATCACTAAGTTAAGACAAACTTTTTCTCTTGACTTAAAAGTCGGCGTCAGTAGTAAACACATTGTCCCCGCTACTCGAAATAACGCCCTCTTTCTGGTACTCGCCGACTTTCTTCTCGAAGAAGTTAGTTTTGCCATCAGTGGAAATAATGGTCATGAAATCGAAAGGATTAGTGGAGTTATAAATCTTTTCACAACCGAGTTCAGTAAGCAACCTGTCGGCGACAAATTCGATATACTGGCACATGAGCTTGCAATTCATTCCAATGAGGCTTACGGGTAAGGCATCGGACAGAAATTCTTGTTCGATAGCAACAGCATCTCGAATTATACCTACGACTCGATCCTTAGACGGTTTCTGTACGAGATACGAGAACAGTAGGCAAGCAAAGTCGCAATGTAACCCTTCATCTCTAGAGATCAATTCATTAGAGAATGTTAAGCCAGGCATTAAGCCTCGTTTTTTTAGCCAGAATATAGCCGCGAAGCTGCCAGAGAAAAATATACCTTCTACCGCTGCGAAGGCGATGATCCTTTCCCCGAATGTACTACTCTTCGAGTTTATCCAGTTTAAAGCCCAATCAGCCTTCTTACGAACACAAGGCAGGGTCTCAATAGCATTGAAAAGGAAGTCTTTTTGTTTAGGATCGGTAATATAAGTTTCGATCAACATGCTGTACATTTCTGAATGGATATTCTCGATAGCTATTTGGAAACCATAAAAGCAACGTGCCTCTGTTACCTGAACTTCTTGGCTGAATCTTTCTACTAGATTCTCATTTACTATTCCATCGGAAGCAGCGAAAAACGCGAGAACGTGTGATATGAAATGCCTTTCGTTATCAGAAAGTCTTACCCAGTGATCCATATCCTTAGATAAATCCACTTCCTCTGTGGTCCAAAATGAAGCTTCGGCTTCTTTGTATTTGGCCCAAATATCGGGGTACTGGATGGGGAATATAACAAAGCGTCCTGGGTTCTCTTTAAGAAGAGGCTCTAGTTCTGGATCAAAATCTAAGTTTTCTCCATCCTGAATCTTTGGTTTTATCTTTTCTTGAGTCTCCGTGGGTGGGCGGATGATATTGGCTTTGTTGGGAGACAAAACCATTTTCTCAGTTCTGGTGTTGAGTGAGGTTATATTTTCATTTTCCTTGTCGTACGACGGCATAATTAATCCTAAATAACACGGAAATTAAAGGTTTGCAAAGAAAATTATGAATTAAACTTACCAAATTGCAAAACTTGTAAACGAAATATAAAATGACTGCACAATTCCACTAATGGGTAAATAATAAAAGGGCGCCAAACAGGCACCGGGTATTTATAGGGACGATATTTAGCGGGAAAACTCAATCCCTGTTTGATACACCTGGCAAATCCGTTAAATATTTGAAATATTTAAATTTAGAAACCTTTTTTATAAGTTTATCCATTGAATCGCTGCTTTTCAATCTTAAAATATTATAAATCAATTAGAAAATAGCACAAAAATTATGTATTTTTATTAATAAAACTTAATAATACAATGTATAGTATAGCTTATTTTTCTTCAATGATGTTACTCAAGAGAACTTTTAGTTCATGGATTTCTTGTCTAAGAATGTCCATCTCACTGGCGGCCGCAACCACAGTGTCCTTTTCCCTAAAGTACCTCTGCACCAACATGGTCATAAGAGCGGGATATTCTAATTCGGACATTTTCTTATCTGGAGCATTATTAGAAGTAGTAGTCGTTTTTTCACAGCATGCCTGTGGGGGTGATTGTTTACCTGCAACCTTAGGTCCCTGCAACAGCTCCATGAAACTGCTTATCCCTCCTGGTGTGGGTATGAGATTTAGGGGCGAAGGGGTTGTGGACTGCAGCATATACTCGATGTAAAAATCAGTCTTGCCAAATGTCCATTCTACGTCCAGATTATCTATGACCCTTTGGAATGTAGCCGACATCGTAGCAATGAGCATGTTGAGAATCATTACGACTATGAGCACCTCAAACAGGGCGAAAGCTATGTAGCCAACGGCTTCGGTGAACTCGTGAGTATTTATGATAGTGGAAGTAGGGGTGTCTCCTGGCAAATTCTCTATTACAACGTCAGCTGATTCCAAGGGAGACATGCAGAATATGGCCCAGAAGAAAGTTTTTAAGGTAGTAGAAAAATTGATGAAAGAGGAGACTTGTTGAGTTTTTATGTCACTGTCTACCTGAATCATCCCGTCGTACGGCTGATAAAACCTGCATAGTCCCGCTGAGAACGATAAAATGACTATAACAAACACAATTATGTACTTTGCTAGGTCCGCACACATTTTACCCAAAGATATCTGTAAAGGACCCATATAATAATTTAATCTACAAAAGAAAATTAACCTGAAGAATGCCATTATGGTAGCAATGGCAAAGCATCCTTCAGCAATCAGCAACGGATCCAATTGGTGCCAATATTTTCTTTCCAAATCAACTTGATCGTTATGGACGGCATCGAAGTAAGAGGCCAGCCAAAAGAGGAACGTCAACACGAATAGGAAGTTGGATATTATATCGTGCCAATTCCAAAGTTTTTTCAGATATCTGGATGGGCCTTGAAGTATGAGCATCCTTATAACACTCCAAACGTTTCCTGCTACAAACACCATAATCACCGGTTCCAATCCTGAATTCGGCGGTTTTCTCTTCTGTCCAGTTTTATCCAAGTTGGACTCAAAGAATATCAACAGTAAAAATATAATGTATGCAGCTATGTGACTGATCATTTTATTTCGAGGTGTGCTCCAGTGTTTCACAAGAGAATGGTTTGGTGTTATTAAATTCATCAATGTTATTACAGGCAGAACGATGATTCGAAGGAAAGGGTAGAGGAGTTTGAAGGTGAACGGTTTTATCTTGTAATCATGCCAATCGCCGCACCAAGCGGCCTCCACAATTTGTTGTGTATTCGGGTGGGCCACAAACGTCTTCTGTTTAGTGTCCATTGCCAAGACTAATCTTGGAAATACGAATAGTTTGGCCGATTTCATTCCTGCGCTTTGCGACAGTATCAGTTCCATCTCGTTGGTGCTTCTACAGCAAGCAATTAAGTCGACTGCGAAATTGCTAACTTCAGCAGCCAGTTCTGCGTAAGCCAGTCTGAATTCTGGCACCAAAAATGAGCACTGTTTCAGCTCCTCGGATAAGTGAAACGCAGCTAAGATGGGATCGTGCGTTGAATAACAAATATAAGCCGGGTTGCAAACTGCCCGGTAAAGGTTTAACTTGAGGCTCTCCGCGTGTAAAAGATCATCGTGTTCCAGCTGTACCGTGCAGTCTGAACACCTACAAGTAGGAGGGTGTGGTTTGCTGATGGTGTGCCCTCTTTCGATAAGCATTTTGATGATCTCATAGTGACCGCATTGAGCTGCTAGGATAAGAGGCGTAACGTAATCGGGAAAATCTGAGCTGTGGGTCGCCCCTACAAATTCTAAACTAGGAGCCGTTTCGTTAAGTTTGTCCAAAATTTGTATCAATATAATCGGTTGGTTATCCTTGACCGCATGTAAAACGCAATCCCCTATATCTATTCCTTGTTGGGTGAGCAAAAATTCCACCATTGGATCTGCATGGGACTGTACCGCAATGAGGAGGGCGGTCACCCCTTGGAAATTGGTGCAGTTAATATTTATGTCTCGATTAGTCTCTAGGAATTCCTTTACAGATATGACGTCACCCGAGGCCACCAGTTCGAAAAATTTCTTTTCTTTGTCTTGAAGTTGAGGTAAAAGTATGCTTGGTCTCGGCACTAGAACATCGGCTTCCTCCGAAAGTCTTCTGTAGGGGCTTCTGTTGGGTCTTAGGTTTTGGTTGCCTTGCCAATTTGGTGAAGGTTTGCTTGGAATAGGTGGTGGAGGTGGAGGTGGAGGGTTGGGAGTTTCCCTATTTTCGTTTTCTGCCATTGTAAATTAATATAATGTAATAAATAAATGTAAATGTTTAAATATTTAGAAACGTCATAAATGTCACACTGAAAATCAGTTTGTTTATACAGGGTATTCTCAAAGTCCGTCAGGAGACTCCGGGAGGTGATTCTACGACCCACTAAACTAGATGAAGCTCTATTGGACCAGGACCAGGCTAAAGTTACTACAAATTTACTAAATTTAGTAACCTTAGTCAGAGAAAAGTTTCATTATGCGCCGCTAGAGGGTACTTTACCTAGAACTCAAAATTTGTTTTGTTCATAACTTCCTATTGCTAGACATCACAGAAATTTAAACATTATTGAAAGTAGAAATAATATCAGAAAAAAATATGTACTCTTAATTCAAGTCGATAAATGTAACCGTGTAGGAGGAAATCGCTATTAAAGTGTTATTAAACGGAAGTTGTTTGCTCAGCTACTTTTCCTATTATTAATTTTTGATTTGTTGTTTTGGTTCTTGGTTGTGCTCAATATTGACCGAACAATTCCGACCATTCGCTGAACACAAACACAGCCTATATTTTTTGTGGTTGTGCTACTGTCAGCTGTCACTTCTATTTCTTCAGTTTGTTGTTTTCGGTTAGATTATATTTGAAAAATGGTCATGTTTTACACAAACTCAAGCTTAATAATCATAAAACGATTTGAATTTTAAAAGAAATAATATTTCAAAACTTTTCAATCTATTTAATCAAATATGGATATGGAGGTTCAAGAACCAAAATATTCTCTTCAGTTTCAAAACTATAAAGATACTCTTTGTGGAAATTTAATAAGGTATTTCAACACAAGGTGTTTTGTAAACGTAACGTTAATTTGCAATGGGGAAGCTATTACGGCCCATCAGGTGGTATTGTCTGCATGTAGTCAATTTTTCGAAAATATTTTAATTGCTCGGACAGAGCCTCACCCTGTTCTTGTTTTTGCTGACATTCCAAAGAACCATATGGAGCTCTTATTGGAATTCATGTATAAGGGCCAAATAAGTGTTTCTAAGAGTCTTCTTCCTTCGCTTCTAACAACTGCAAAAAAGTTGCGAATACGGGGCCTGAACTATGAGAGGTTTAACAATCCACAGGTAAATTTTGCTTCTGAACTTATCAAAAAACTTTTGTATTTAAACCTTTTAGATAAATTCAGGAGGAGAAGTGTACGTGACTAATACAACTCAAAATTCATCTCCTGTGTTAATAGAAACGTCAAGACAAAATGTCACTGTTCGAAACGTTCAGAATATTGTAAGTACTTTTGCTGTCAGAGCTGTGGAATAAGGTTTTGTTAATGATTTTGGTGTATTTTTAAGATATGCATTTCTTCTTAATTTTTATTTGTATCTATTTAAGGAGGGTCAAGGTTTGGATAATGAAGAGTCCCCAAAGTGGTTATCATCGTCAACTCCAAAGAAACGAGAAGGTGAGTTCAAAATATGTAAATCCAGAGACAAAATTTCGAAGGTTGATATTATTAAATTGTATTTGTTTTGTAATCGAGTTAAATTCCTTGGACGATAAAGAATTAATTTATTTATTTCCTTGTAGAATGTGGAAAGAAAGTTATAAACCCCTTTGCTGTGAAGTCTCGAAGTATCAATGACAGCGATTCGACCGTATACGATTATGACCCGTGTGCACCAGGACCGTCAAAAAATAATTTCAATAAACACCCACCATTTGCAGTCTTCTCCCCGGATAAGAATGACAGTGATGTGGAAATCGTTGATAACGCCCCGAGTATTGTGGTTATTGCGGATACGCAAACTAGTGATAATAGTTACGATAAGCAAAAGAGAGTACAAAAACGAGGTAGGACAGTAAAGGCTAGCAGTCAGATAAATGAGGATGAGTTCACGTCAGACGATAGCGAAATAATATCTAACAGCCCAAAGAAAGTGAAAAACAATGTTATCGTCGATCATTCCGATGATACAAGTGATGTGCCATTATCAGTTATAGTGACCCAGAATTCAGCAACGTCACAAAACACGAATAGGGGCGAAGATGCTAAATCAGATAAGTCGGGTTCTCCAAATAGAAGCGGGAACGGTGAATCAAATCTTTCGGTTGCCATTGAAAATGACCACTCTAATGAATCAGACAAGTCTGAAACGGGACAAATTTTAAATAGAGACAATGGCGCAGTGTGGAGTTTAGAACCTGTAGAAGAACCTTTTGAAGGTTATAATAAAACTCCCTTTTATAAGTTGCGTAATTTCTGTATCATTTGTCAGAAATATATGTGTGCTAACTTAAAACACGTTAGAAAACATCATGGTGGTGGTCAAATTAGAAGAAAAACATTTACTTGCAAAACATGTTCGAAAAAGTTTTACCGGGAAAAAGTACTGGAAATCCATAAGTGCGAGGTTAAAAAAAAAAATTGTTAGAATAAGCTTTTTAATGGAAATGATTTTATTTATACTTAAATTAATTTGCTTCATTGTGTGTATTATAATAAATTCTTTAAATTATTTTACTTTGCTTGAATTTTATTTTTCTCGTGACAAATTTTTGCCTTCTATTGAATGGCGGAATCAGTTTTTATATGTGACGTTTCATCTTTGCAGGACCATTATCAACTTAATTTTTTTTTAATGCAACCCTGGAAATTTTATTACATTTTTTTCAAGCCTTCACGACCCCCAATACTGTACTGCCTCAGCCTCGAAAAATTCGTCCAATGTATTCGTTCCAAATTTATCTAAATTTTTTATTTAGATTTCTATGTTTATTGAATTATCGTACACTTGAAGTGTTGTTGGACCCTGTGAAATCTACCTAGGTATTTAAACTATTACTATCACCTGGTCATACATAACTCGATAAGTTGCGTCAAAATTAATACATAATTTTCAGTTTATTACGACAAATTAATTCTTAAAAATGAATTTGAACAACCAAGACTCCAAATGAATATTATATTTTAAAAAATTACAGTAAATGTTCAAGAACATTTCCATTTTGACGATTTGATTGGAAATTATTATACCTCCCACCGTATTTGTAAAAGAGCATTTCAGATGTATTTGTATAAATATCCTGAAAAAAATTAGATCGAAATTTGTTTGAATTTTGAGTGCTCGAGAAACCTAGAAATAACTTTGGGCACGGAATTACATTAATGTAAGGTGTGATGGTAGTAGTTTAAATAACTGGGTGAATTTCACAGGGTCTAACGACACAGTGTACGATAATTTAATAAACATAGAAATCTAAATAAGAAATTTAGAAAAGTTTGGAACGAATACATTGAAGATGAATTTTTCAAGACAAAATGTCTGAATCTGGTTCGGGCTGAGGCAGTACAGTATTGGGAGCATGAAGGCTTTCAAAAAATGTAATAAAATTTCTAGGGTCGTATTTAAATAAATGAAGTTGATGATGGAAAAATTACCATGAGAAAGTGTTCTTCTTTTTTCAATATCACCTCAAACAAGGCTGAAATGAAACAAAAAACGGATTTTTAAAATTTTGTTTTTTTTTCAAATATCAAAAAATAATTATGTTAGCCTTGATTTTTTAGAGGCGTTAACATTGCCCGTTTCACGAAAAACATTAACACAATGCTGAACTGCACTTTGAAAAATTTTGTACTCAACAACGTCGGGAAATTGATTTTGAAATTCTATGAAACATTCCTCAATAGAATACTTCCATATTCCATCAATCTTGCGTCCATTTCTAAAGTAGGACTCTATGATAAACACTTTTTGTTCTTGAGAAAACACCATTTTAAANTAAATATAATGAATAATTTGCAAGCTGCAGAAATTGTAAACCATCCGCGACAACATTAATTAAACCATTTAAAGTTTCAGCAATATCTGACCACTGTTTTTGGGCCTTTTTGTGAGTGAAAGTAGAAGAAAACTTTCATTTTAAAAAGTTCTTCGTTGTTTCTAAGCATATTAATTTCTTTTTTGCGCTTTCGACGTGAACGAACGCTTCATCATAATTATAATAATATTAAATTTTTTGTGTTTTCAAATATACTTCTATTCAAATTGAAGTTATATTAAATTACTACGAATATCATGGAGATGTCTAGTCTCCCTGACGAATATAATGACATTTACAAAACAAACTTCAAAATCAAATCAAGTGACTAAACATCAGGGTCGCCAATAATGGCACTGAAATATTGAAGAAAACTCTGCCCGCTGATTGGTCAGTTGCAAATATATCCTCGACATACGGCATAAATTAAATTCTCTAGAGAATTGGATTCCTTCAACGTTCAAAAATAAGTGTTTAAGTTTTTAAGAGAAATTTGTCAGGTGAATTTTTTCTCTGGAGAATCAGTTCTCCTGTTTTTAAAAATCAAGCCCCAGTAGTGAGAAGCGAACTTGTAACAACCTGTTATCATATATATCATATTTTCAAATTTTTGCAGGCAACCAGAAATACACCTTATGGTGATGCTGGTGGTTAGTAAATACATGGAGGTGGAGGATAAATAGCGTATGTCGTGGTTATACCTACTTTTCTATTACGGAGTCATGGACCGTGTTTTCTAATAGTAAATTAACTACGGTTTGTCGTTTGACATTTTCTAGAGAAATTAAATTAACCCGATTTGGCCGAGTTTGCCAAACCAGCTAACCAGTTATTTTCTTGTTTCTGGATCACATCAGATTATATGACCAGGATCGGTAATCCCCTTTCCCCTATTAATCAAAATTTTTCTGTGATTCAAACTTTTGATCACGATCACATTTTAAATATAACCTTACAATTGTGGTGGTTTTTTTTTTCTCTAAGAAAGCAGTTACTATGTTTATTTTAATTGTGCATAGAAGAATTATACCTAAAGGATATTTAAAATCATATCGTTCGTGTTTGTCTGATCCTGATTCAGTGATCATGATTCAAACCTGAGAGCAAAAGAAAACGGCTATTTTCTGTTGCTAATTGTTGATATTTAAATTTGTATTAATAGTTTACTTTTATATCAGTCTCATAACGACAAGAAATCAGGAATACAAAAAAAATCGTTTTAAAAGTAAGTCGCTCCTAACTTCCATTAATGTCAAATTGTCAAGTTGCATGTTTTAAAAATTGACCTCATGAATATAAGAATATGCATCCCTTCCAGTGTGTATGTAGTTCATTGGGGCTGAGTCAATATTTCTGTCTTTGTCTAATTATCGTACAATTTATGATTATTGAGATTAGAGACACCTAAATTCAAAACAAAAGAATTTTTTACACAACGTCCGAGTACAAATGTGGCAATTCCTCTAATGTTCCTAAAAACAATTTCATATCAAGTGACGGAGATTGCAAGAAGAAAATCTACATATAGAATGCAAATAGACCTAGGATCATTCACATTTTTAGCAGGCTTTAAATTTGATTTTCCTGTACCTGACTATAATGTATGTTAAAATATCTGAAAGAACTACAGAAACTTGAAGTGATATAATATAAAATACAATATAAAACACAGCAACAGAGCAACGTGAAATACAAATATCGTTCTCGATATTAAAATTATTGTTTTACCTATTAATCGGTCGAAAACAGTCCATCTCTTGGTTGCTTGATTTCGTCAATATTTTGATTAGGTGGAATGCGGTTTGGTTTGCGTCCAGATGAAATGCCACTGTGGCAAAGCTTTTCATTTTTCGAGATTTTCCGTTGTTACAATCAATGATTGACAAAAAAAAAATTCGAATTTAAGTATAACTTTCTTATTATTTGATCTGGAGGAATGCGGTTTGGTTTGTTGAATAGTTCAAGCGAATGCTACTATGGTCAAGTTGAAAAAATAAAATAAAAATAAATAAAAAACATACTTAAGTATAACTTTTTTTTTATCTGGAGGAATGCAGTTATAACAAGAGAAACTGTTTTTAAATTAATAAAATATCGAAATACTATGTTCGGCATTAGTTTCTGTATTATTTATTAAGTAGGATTAAAATTTCATATTTGGCCCGCTCTGCGCGATGTATTTAGCGCAGCTCATAAACTCAATGGTCTTCCTTAGTACGGCTTGTTTTCCTAACTCATAGAAAATATAGTACTAACGTTAGTACTATATTTTCTATGTCCTAACTGGATTCATCAGCGACGAATCCTCTTTGTCTTCTAATTTCTCTGTTTCAGTCGCCGACCGCGTGTCATTAATCACTTTCTTTGAAATCGTGAATAATTCAGCGGCCGTGCAAAACAATAAAATGTGTTAATCAGCGCGAGCATTTGCAACATCGGCCAGATAAAAATCTGAAGAATTTGGAATAAGGCAAACCGCACGCCGCGCGCGTTTCCATTCGGCCTTTTTATCCGCCTGAAAAATGTTTCCTGCGCAAGGAATATCGCTTCGCGATCATTAAAATGGGCAATAACGAAACGGACTAGAAAGACTTCGCCATTAATCAGAACGGGATTTATTAGAGCAGATATCGACGGTATCTGTTCGAGAGATTCTAATAAATTTTAAAATCAGTGTTAGGCTCGGCAAAAAACCGCCGCCGCGAATGCCTGGAGATCTTTAGACGTGCTGCTTTTTATTCCCGCTCGTTTAAGTGCAATTTAGCGGTGGCAGATTGACATTTCTCTGCACTGTTACTGCTTTTTTTTTGTTGTGCAGGACGACGCGACGTTAAATAGTTTGGGCAAATAAAACTGTATAACCACTAAAAGGTTTATATAACAGCCTCAAATGTTTATATAAAATTAATTATTTCAATTCATTGAGAAATATGTATTTACAGTACTGCAGTAATTATAATAACGTCAAGTTTAAAAATGTTTGATATTCAACCAAAATTTCCAACGTCCCTAGTAAGAATAAGATCGTCTAATTGTTGACATACGCAATGCCCCTCGATATGAAATTATGGGAATATCTCAGTGTACTACTGTGTCCAAAAAATAAGGAGAATTACTTATTTAAAATTCGCGGGTATTACGAAAGCATAATTATTTTTTTGTAGGTTGGTATTACTTGTCCTTGATATCTATGCAGTTTCAACTTAATCTTCAATCCCTGCAGAGCTACTCGTGTTTTTGTAAACATATGAAAGTGAGTTTATCGGTTTGTACTATCTGATTTTGTTGAGCAAAAAATTTGCATTCAATTTTATTTGCGGAATGAATATTCTACCCCGGAAAAGTTGAGGATGTTTCAGATGGAATTTAGTGTTGAAGTTATGTCGCAAAAAAATGTTTACATTTACAAATGACCTTGAAAACCGTCGATTAAGAATAAGAGACCTTGTTAATACTGTTGACATTTCAAAAAGTTCGATAATTACTATTTTTAACAGATTTGTTGTGCCTTAGACTCGTCAAATCTCGTTTCAGAAACATTTCCATTTTTCTTGAAACGTTTCATAAAAAATCCATGCAACGTTCTGGTAACGTTCTAGAAGCCCAAGATGTCTCCCCAAAATACGTTTCCAATGAAACGTTTAAAAAAATTGGTTTCAGTAA